TAGGTGTAATTCAATAAGAAATGGTATTGTAGTCATTTAATAAAAAATAGTCTAGGCCAATGGAGTATTTTGCAATAAAATGTGATAGTTCATGAGATATTATGTATAAAGAATACTTAAGAGGGTTATTTATAAATTCAAACATAGTTCAAGTGATTTTTTGCATTTTATCCCAAAAATAATTAATGCTTCCCTACTCTTTTTTTATTATTATTTTTATCTTAGAAAAAAGTGAGTTTAATTTTCTTTTTATATACTTATAAAATTATTGACTTCTTTTGTTTTTAAAATTTTTTCGTTGTTGACTACCAAATAATGGAATTGATAAACGTTAGCCCATGGCCCATATATGAAAATCTTATTCATCGAGTCCAACGAGAAAGTTCAAGTTGGACTGGATTTGAAACTTAGGTTAATATAGCTTACTTTCACGACTAATTTAACTACCATAAATCAGGATTATACAATACTTAATAATATTTACATTTACAAAAAAATAATAATTACAATATTCTGTTGTCACTGCGTATAGCAAATTTAATTTTTTCAAAAACTTATATATCTATAATCTATATCTATACTATTATTAAATGTGCAAAGTGTTTCAGTATTTCAGTATTTATTTATTAATTGATATAAATTTTATAAAATTTAAAATTACCTAATAAAATTAAAATTAATTCAAATTAACAAAATATAAAAAAAGTTTAATTCAAATTACAAAGTCTCACATTGGTTTTAAGTAAAAAGGATTGCATGAAAGTCTCTTATAAAACTATAGAGCTAAAGAAATAATAATCACACATTCTCGGCCTTTTGGCTAAGATCAAGTGTAGTACTAAATTTTTTTAGGTCGGCCTTTTGACTAACCTTTTTTGGTCAAAAATTGAGAATTATAGAAATCCAAAATTTAAGAGTAAAATACAGAAACTCTTTAGAGTTTCAGTATTTATCTATTAGTATTTAAGTATTTATTTATTTATATAAAAAAAAATATTTAAAACACTAAAATCTACATAATAAAATTTAAATTAACCTATTTATCTATTTATTATTATGAATTTTTTAATAAAAGAAAATCTAATTAGACAAGAATTATTAATATAAAAATATTTATTAATTGATATATAAAACAAAATAATTTTTCTAAAACTCTACCATAAATTAACTTTTATTATAAGTTTCTTAATAAAATAAATCTAATTAGACAAAGATATATTTAAAGAAAATAAAATAATTTCTATAAAACTCTATCACAAATTACTTATTTATTTTCAATAAAACTATATTACACTAGACAAAGATATATTTAAAGAGTTTCTATAAAACTCTAACACAAATTACCTATTTATCTATATATTATAAGTTTTTTAATAAAAAAAAATCTAATTAAACAAGTATTTTTAATATAAAAAATTATTTATTAATTGACATAAAAAGAGGTTTTAAAAGTGTTTCTATAAAACTCTAACACAAATTACCTATTTATCTATTTATTATGAGTTTTTTTTTAATAAAAAATAAATCTAATTAGACAAGAATTATTAAAATCAATAATATTTATTAATTGAAAATTACGCAAAGTGTTTCAGTATTTCAGTATTTATTTATTTTATATAAAAAAAATATTTATTAATTAATATAAAAATAGTTTTTGTAAAAATAGTTTATATAAAACTCTAAAAATTACCTAATAAAATTAATCACATTCTATATTAAACTCTAATTTTTAGTTCAATATAAAAAAATGGTTATTTTTTATGGATAATTATCACAATATAACCGGCCCGGCCCAATTATAATTATGTAATTATCAAAAAAGGACGCATGCCATCATCCTATTAATTCAAGAAGCCTATACATAGAGGCATGGAAGAAGGAGGAAAGAGTACAGAAATTGAGAATTCTAGAAATCCATAATTATAAAAAACAGAAACTTTGCCAAAGAGTTTCATTATTTATTTATATAAAAAAAATATTTATTAATTGATATAAAAAGAGTTTTTATCTATACTGTTATTAAATGTGCAAAGAGTTTCAGTATTTAAGTATTTTTTTATTTATATAAAAAAAAATATTTAAAACGCTAAAATCTACATAATAAAATTTAAATTGACCTATTTATCTATTTATTATTATAAATTTTTTAATAAAATAAAATCTAATTAGACAAGAATTACTAATATAAAAAATATTTATTAATTGATAAATAAAACAAAATAATTTTTCTAAAACTCAACCGCAAATTAGCTTTTATTATGAGTTTCTTAATAAAATTAAATCTAATTAGACAAGGATATATTTAAAGAAAATAAAATAATTTATATAAAACTCTATCACAAATTACCTATTTTATTTTCAATAAAACTCTATCACACTGGACAAATATATATTTAAAGAGTTTCGATAAAACTCTGACGCAATTTACTTATTTATTTATTTATTACGAGTTTTTTAATAAAAAAAAATTGAATTAGACAAGTATTATTAATATAAAAAATTATTTATTAATTGATATAAAAAAATGTTTTAAAAGAGTTTATATAAAACTCTAACATAAATTACTTATTTATCTATTTATTATAAGTTTTTTTTTAATAAAAGTAAATCAAATTAGACAAGAATTATTAAAATAAAAATATTTATTAATTAAAAATTACCTAATAAAATAATGTAACGTGTTTTAGTATTTCAGTATTTATTTATTTATATAAAAAAAATATTTATTAATTGATATAAAAATAGTTTCTATAAAACTCTAAAAATTACCTAATAAAATCAATCACATTCTATATAAAACTCTTATTTTTAGTTCAATATAAAAAAAATAGTTATTTTTTTTGGATAATTATCAGAATGTAACTGGTTCAGAAAATGACACATGTCATCATTCTATTAATCCAAGAAGCCTATAAATAAAGGCATAGAGGAAGGAGGAAGGAGTATAGAAATCGAGAATTCTAGAAATCCAGAATTCAAGATTAAAATACATAAACTCTGCTAAAGTGTTTCAATATTTCAGTATTTATTTATTTATATAAAAAAATATTTATTAATTGCTCTCACACCCCCTCAGGTTTTGACTTATTGTTCTTATATTAAACCTCAGCTAAAATTGCTCTCACACCCGTATAAAAAATATGAAAAATGTGTTTTTACTATTATACCCTTAACTTTATTAAACCACATGCTTATGTCATTGCTGACATGTGTAGGTCAAACGTGAAATAACAATATTACCTTTTATTATTTAATTGCCAAAAAAAAAAATTAAAAAGTAAAAATAATATCCTCAATTGCCACCACAGCCACCACTGCGTTGTCTACGACCACAAAGGTCTTTTCTGGGCCATCTTAGATCCTTGACTCCAGTACCTTTATTCATGCCTCATGCTCACCCTTACAGAAGCCTCTTCAGATATTGACTGCATATCAATCTCCACTCTCTGTGTCTCACCACGGAGCCATTACCACTACTGGCGTGCGCAGCCGACTTGCAACCGGATTCTCACTCTCCGGTCCCAATTCAGAGGTCCAATTTTAGGTGCTCTCTAGATTCCAATGTCGCTGCATTAACATTATTTAAATAAATCTTTCCATACATACATACATACATACATATATATATATATATATATATATATATATATATATGTATGTATATTTGTCAATAGGTAAAGTGGTTACATATGTGGTCCAAATCTATATATATTTATATGGTGCAGATCTTGGACCATATATATATGTGTGTGTGTGTGTGTGTGTGTATATATATATAACAGATTAATCAAATAAGTTTGTAACACATGAATCAATCTATATATGTAAGTAGCAAGAGCAAGATAGAAAGATTTTGCATGATATGAGATGTGTAGGGATTTTGAAGGATAATATTATAATTTAATATTTTTATAACAACTTCACTTATTTTCTCTCGTGTCTTTCGCCCAAATTTTTAGACAGATGAAAATTTATAAAGGAGGAGGGATGAGCCATCCCTCCTATTATCCTTTCTCTCTCTGGCTCTTTCCTAGTGAAAAAGGAACTTTCTTCCCTCCTATTTTCCTTCCACCCCTCTTCCTTTTTTTCCCACTGAACAGAGCATTTATCTATTTTTCAATGCTCTCCACTATAAACACTCGTAACATTTACAGTAGCAAATCATACTTTTGAAACATCCATTAACAATTGGTAAAATTATGAAATTAATCAACAATAGTCATTATTTCTTAAACTATAATTAAGTAGTATTAAAAAATTCATAAAAATTACAATCTTATATCTTAAGGAAGATTTTTCAAACAAATCAACTCGTAAAGTATAATAACTATACCTTGGAAATAATGAATAAAAATAAAATTTACAATTTTGTAGTCCTGTCTCTTAGAACCTTGAAGAAAACAATGTATAACATCCGTCCTCAATTCTATCGTATCTTGGTCTTTTAGTTAGTCAATTTAAATAAGTGTTTATTTAGGTTAATGTAGAGGGTAAATTTGTCCACTTACATAATAATATATTATAAAAGGCTATTTAGGTAATAAACAATTAAATGATCACTTAGTATCAATTAAGTTTTAACCTTGGTCAGTATTCACCTTTTGTTGACTTTAAGATCACTATAAAGCAATTATGTTTAATTTTGACCACCAAAATATCATTTTTCATTTTTGGATAAATCAACTCTCTATTTGGTTGCAAAGAAATGAAAGGAAAATAAAATGGATTTAAAAAAAAAAATTTATATCATGTTTTTTTTACTTAATATATAGTAATGTGACACAATTTTATTTATTGATCACTATAAGTTAAAATTATTTTAAATATAAAAAAGCTATGATGCATATAGTGACAACGCTACTAAACTAAAATATCCAGTCACATGCAAATTTACAAGTGAAAAGGCCATTTATGATCTTCTCATAACCGTTAGATTAATCTACTTCGCATTTAACGTTCCAGATATTTTCTTTTTCTCTATTATCATTAGGGTTCAAGTTGCAAAAAGAAAATAAAAAATAAAATTAGGGTTCAAGAGCCATAAGAGAATTTAACAAAAACAAAGAAAACCAAAAAACAGCTTTCCAAAATGAACAGCAACAGCAACAGCAACAGCAACAGCTGAGCAATCAGCAGCAGCAAAAAAAACCCTAGTCATCTCTGTTCGATTTCAGGTTATCTTCTTCAGTCCACACTTGTAATCTTTTCTATTTAATTCATCTTTATTTGAAGTTATCTGAGAAATGTTGTTCTGGATTTGATAGATAACGTCCACAATGTTATCTAGATGGAGCAGAGCAATTACTCATATCTCTAGGGTTGGATCGCAGAAGAGCTTGACATCTATAAGCGATTTACATGTCATTTCATATCGAAACTATTCCAAGGTTGCTGCTGCTGCTGCAGTACCAACATCGCCCGATGTTGCCGAGAAAAGCTATGCAAGTAAACAGGAGGTATAGATACACACAGATAGATATAGTCAGAACTACCATTTTCTTATTTGTGAGAATGTATATGCAGAACATCAATATTTTAGGTCGTTTTGTTGATTAAGGTTAACTTGGGTTACTGATATTAGCTGTCAGTGTTCTTCTGTTGTGTTTCGTGTATGTTAAAGACTGATTAATTATTTGCCTTTTGAATTAACAATAATGAATTCCGCGAGGAGATATATCCGCGTGAGATAAATTTTTATGTTGCTAAATTCGAAATTTATAGCTGCATGCTTTCTCCATTTCAATGGTTTTTCTGTTGATGAATTTATTTTAATTAGACAATTAACTTTTACTTAATTTTGGTAATGAATGCATTTGTTTTGATTTTAAATTTTGGTTGATTTTGTGTGATAATATTCAAAATCCACATTTCCTTTTTATGTTTCTATTTCAAGCACTAAAAACATGCAAGATTAATAAAATATATGAAATGAGAAGAACAGCTAGACAATAAGGCAACTTTTATGAGGCTGGGTAGATTGTTTACATCTTAGGGACTAAGAAAGGACCTTCTCAAGTAGTGAGGCAGAAATGTGAATAAAGGTTGACAGTGCAATCTCGCCTCTTTAATTGAACCCCCAAAATGCTGAATCCCAAGAAAAAAAAAAAAAGGAAAAAGAAAAAAGCAATTGCTGTTATATCCATAATTGTGCACTCCTGTTAGATAAGAGTGGAAACTTTGGTCTCACTTTGCATGAGCTATCTTCCTTAACGTCACAATTTTATCTTGTAACATACATGCATGGACCTTATTTTGACCAAAAAAAGTTCATACTTTATTATTAACATATTCTTGTTCATTATCTTCCACAAATTGATATATGAGGGTTGATATTAAATTTTTGTTTTTTGTTTTTTTGTTTTTTGAACTCTTCCTGATAACACATTGCAAGATACTTCCATGGCTTCTTTCGTGCTAAGGCTACAGATTTTGTTTCATTTATTTTTAATTAATTTGTTCTTTCATGGAAAGTCATTTGCTTCCAAATCATAGTCAGTTTTAGTTTTTCAAAGGTGTTTATATAAAATTCAGGTACACCAATGAGCTATTAGATATTCTCTTGATATTATAAAATTTTTCATATCGATAAGAGAATTAGCTCTTAGATGGTTTAAATGTTGTAGGTTGAGTGAAAGACTATGATTTTGATTTCATCTAATGATTTTCTATACAGCTAAAATGAATATATTGCTGAATGCTGTCCTGATACTGAAAATTAGGGTACATTCTTTGAGCAGGTAAATTTGAGTAAGCAGTTTTGGTCCAAGCCCTGCTCATTGGCTTTGGCCCCTGATTCCCCTCTAAGAATTGAAGAGCCAAAGTATGAAGGCATTCGGCGTATTATCCTCAAGCTTTTGCTATTCTATAGCAAACAAAGCATATCCATTCGAGGAGCAAATGTGGTGTACCGCCGTGTAGTTTCTCAAGTTGATAAACCTGCTATATATAATGGTTGGTCTATCTTTGTTCTTGTTCTCAAGCAATGCAATATATATATTTTTTTCCTTATGCTTTAACAAACTTTAGTTTGCCTGTAATTTTAATATACATATGTTTTTTTTATGTAAGTAAGATTATTCTTTAAAGAGAAATTCTGGATTTACAAATACAAGTAGCATACCGTAGGGGGCTACATGAAAAAAAACAAACAAAGCAATACTTCTAATGAATAAATTATTGGCAAAAAAGAGTGGGAGTCCCATGAAGTTCACATGAACTCTACTCGATTCTGTTCATAGTAGAAAAATACAGTACTTGACATTTCTCTTCCATTTTTAGAAGAGCTGATCTCAATCTTTCATCCCCCACTGCCCTAAGGGGGAAAAAAATGGAAATAAAGTCAATTTGATATAGAAGTTGTCAAATTCCTTTACCATAGAAATTTTAATATCATATTTAATTTTTTAAATTACATTATCTTATCATTTACATCTTTAAATTTATATTTTGTGATTCCATTTTTGTTGTATTGTCCAATTTTTTTGAGGAGATAAGCAAAGAGACACTTCTCAGTGTACCTTTATTTTAATGATGAGAAATTCAAGTTTTTTAGAATGGGAAAGAACGTTTTGAGGCAGCCATTCAACCGAATTACACTATCTATTGTTAATTCAGTCATTAACACTTCGTACCACCATACTTCAAATGATCTCAACCACAGAACTCACAGAGGAATCTCTGAAATGGTGTAAATGACTTATTATTTAACATTTTACATTTAAATCGAAATTATAATATAAATTACAATGAGGGCATCAGTGGTTATATTGGTAATTGATGGTGATCTAAGTAGAAGTGTGATTGGTTGCTGCAACTTTAGTGATTGGGATAGGAATGACACGGACCACAACTTTTATCAACCCGAAGTTGGTGGATCTTCTAATATCTTTGGCCAAATAATTGATTCTAAATTCCATCAATCCATGCTTTGAATCCTTAATGTCTATCCGTTTCAAGTCTCAGATGCCAAGGAAGTCTTACTCAGAAATGGTTAGCAAGTATGGTCATATGTCTTTATGTGGAAACGAGGTTGATGATGTTAAAAGGGTGTAGAGGATAAAGTTCTTAGATATTATAAATGTCTTGGATTAGTTCTTTCATATGAAATATGCATTTCAATCCTATAAGTATAAATGTGATCTCTGCACTGTGCTAATTCTGTGATAGTTAGTGGTGGCTCGTGAGGTCCTTTTTTAACAACATGAATTTAATTTAGAGCTTTGTGTTGCATTTGGGATAGGAATAATATTGATATCTTTGTAATTATTTAGATCTCTGCCATCCTATCTTGAGTTTTAACATGATTTTTACTCCTTCACATGCAGTATTTAGCTTGGAAAAGACATTCAAAACTACATTCTCTTTGCTCGTGCTTCATATGTGGCTTTTCTTACGCCGCTTGAAAGAAGAGGGAAAGGAAGGCTCTGAGTTTGGGCAATATGTGTATGAGATTTTCAATCATGATGTGGAGCTGAGGGTATCTAAGGCCGGGGTTAGCAATCTACACCCATATGCAGAGTTTAAACTTTCAAATTTCAATATATATATATATATTTTATTCCTACTATGAGTAAAAACAAATTTCCAGAAACAACTCTCTTTTCAAATTTAGGATTTAGCATTCTTGATACTTGCAGTGATCTTTCTCTTTCTGGAGAAAGATTAAGGATCCATCAGGTTAACCATCATTTTGGTTTAACATTTGTATGTCAATGAAACAAGCATGGAGTAACGATAAATACAACTACCAGAAATCTTTAGTGGCAATTGCTTTGTTAATGGTAAATTGCTTGATATGCCAAATGTGAAAACGTGGATTTGAGTCTGAGAGCAGATGCTTTTAACAAATAATGCAAAAGCTTACTTCTGTGCCATTATTACACCCCTCCTAGCACCTTGCATTAGCGAAACAAACCCTGATTAATGGGCTTATAACTATTAGTAGTATAATATTTTTGTAGTTGGGTAAGTTTTTCTGTTTGTTACCGATTTGTGTTTATAAAATGGTAAATAAATCAGCGTAGCATCTAGCTTGACTTCCAAGAGTTTAATGTTTGATCGGTTTGGAAGGAAGGAAAAGTAAGAAAGTATGTACAAGGTTTTATATGAAGATGCTAAAAAAAGAAAGGAAAGCAGGGAACAATAAACTGTATTGAGGTGTTCATATACATATGTTGGATATGTTAGAACCAGAAATTTCCTCCTCAGAATGGACCTGTTGCTTTCCGTTTGCTAGGTCATATTTGGGGTTCGCCTTGCACCAAAAATTGACAAAATTGTGTGATTTATCTAGTTTTCATTTTACATTCGTAAAACCATAAGAATAGTTTTAGAAGTAAATGCACCTTTGTCTTTTTATTTATCAAAAAAAAAAAAAAAAATACCCCTTTGTTTTTCACTGTTCAATTTTTGGTGGAAGTGATCTTGACCACATGAGAAATATGATGCAAGTCCATACAAATTTTAGACACGGCGTCCCTATTCCATTGCTGGGCTACGATTACAGTACCTAGGTATGACCTGAAGAGTCTCTGTGTGTGTGTGTATTCACTCCTATTGCTCACTGGGAATCTATCAGTAGTGTTACATATTGATTGATGATATAAAAATTTATGAGATGGGAATCTCTGTGGTCTTTTGTACAATTGAGGAATCTTATTTTGAACCTATATCAGATTGAGTAACATTAAACATGTACATTTTAGGTTAAATAGCCATAACGCCTCCACTTTCTCCTTGGGATGGCAGGTTAACTTACTGTTGCACAGATGGATGAAGGATTTGGAGAAGATCTTTTATGGAAATGTTGTTGCTTATGATACTGCCATGCTTCCCCAAGCTAAACAGGATGAGTTGCAAAATGCGCTATGGAGGTATCGCTTGCACTAGAATTATAACATAAATCTTTTATAAAAGTGTCAATTAGTCTAATTAGGATGTTGTACACTTGCTTTCACATTTAATTAAACTGTGGGGTGGGCTACTCTTATTTATTTATTTTTTAATTAATATTGATAATTCTATCCTATGACTCAAATAATTCCCCTTTACAATCTTAGTAGTCTTAAGGCAACCAGAAATGTTACTCATCTGTTACTGCATGACAATGTATATGTGTATATATGCTGAATAACAATAATCTTTATATGAGATTTTTGAATATAAATTTTCTAGTTTTTAATATTAATTTTATGTAGAAAATTAAGATTCTGCTACAATGAAATGACCCTAAGCCATATTCAACTTGTGTTGCAGTGTACTAAAACCATCAATTTTACTAGTTTGGCATTTTTAGTAAAAATGTAAAATTTGATAATTAATGATATAAGAGCTTGGGACTAATTATTTGATGTTCTCTCTTTTCTGAGATGAATTGCCATGCTGTTCGAGTGACTCCTTGTTTTTACCCTATCCGCTTTGTCTGACTATGCATTGGTACTTACTTGTGTGGCAGGAACATCTTCTCTGATGACGGTTTGTCAAAACCAAATGATGCTGGGTTACGTGCAGTCCAGGCAAGTTCATGTCTGCCTATGTAACTCGAGTTATTAGCTATATAGGATGTCTCTTATTTGGTCAATCTTACCATTTGTGGTAAGATACTATACGCAAACTACTTACCCTCCATCAAACCCCACACCTTCCGGGTCCTCCCACCGCCGGGTTTTGCAGTATGAGAAATCTGTAATCTTCTAGGGAGTGGTTGGTGAAGTAGTTTTCTATTTTGGGTATGGAATCTGCCAGGCAAAGTAACCTGCATTGCTTTCCCCATTAGATAGATACAGTTATTACAGTGGGTGTTGTTCTCATTTTTTGAAACAAAGTCATATGGCAATCATTTGAATTTATTGATGTGGTAAGTACTATTTGTCGTGTAGCTGTAAAGGCTTCTACAGGGATGCATACTTTTCCACACTTTCAACTTCCATCACTGCTTTTATGGTTAAGACCATCGAGTTTCCATCTGTAACAAAATTTGTCAGACTTTAATTGTAGTTTTTCTTTTAGTTCGTCTTACTGTCAATGCATAGGCCTCATCATTCTCTGTACTGTAGGCATAATGCATTTTAAACAAAAAGGTCTAGCACAGTGATTTTTGGATTTATTTGCAGGCTATGTCAAGGTATGTTCGTCGGGAATCTAGTTGCCTGTCGTTAACAGGTAGGCCACCCCTTTTTACGTATCCTTCTTTTCCCTAATTCATATGCATTCTTGTGTGATTTTCTTATGTAGTATATATTAAATTAAGAATGTGTATATCTTTTTTGTTGTTTGGAAAAACTTGAATCTGGTCAAATTAGTCGGCACAATGAACTCAGTGCTTGAATAAGGCAGCTATGTTGATGGGAGGTTGTGGTGCCAAGGGGCAGTGCACAGCCAGCCAAAAACTTCCCATAATTTTATCAATATCTTGCCCGTATGATTTAGGATTGCTGAGCTGCATGAGCCCAGTTTGGTCCTTGTTCTGAGTCTGGAGAAATTATAATTTTTGAAGAAACGTGGGTGGCATTTAAAAATTCTCTCAAAATTGTCAGGATTCATGTCCGCATGAATAATGTTTTTAAATGGCCATTAGCAATCTAAAGAATTCCTCTTTTTTATTTTAACTTTTTATCCTGGCTTGAGATTGACTGTGAAAATAAGACATTGGACGCTTATCTGGGTGATTTATTTGAGTAAATTATATAGATTAGAAATTATATTTTGTCATCTCTTTCTATTTTTTATCTATGTTTATTTATTGTTGAAATTGGACCCCACATCTAGTTGGTAATGGGCAATATATTACCTGTGTAACGATCTGTCTTTTCATGTAGCAACAAAACAACATGCCTTCCCTTGTATCTGCAAATAGAAAGAAATTTTCTTTGGGAGAAAGAAACATCACCCACGCTTGAGACTCATAAATGGTCATAACTAATTCCTCGGGCCTTCGATCCATGAACTGTATATTGCTATGAATTTTAGTGACCTTTTAGCTAACTATCATAATTTCCAGGAGGGGGAACTTATTCCAAACCCTTCAAGGCTGAGTTTGAATTAGGAGGGGTGCACACAGTTCGGTTTGATCTGGTTCTAGGATGAACCAGAACCAAACCGGTCCCAACAGCTCTAGAAACATTAGAACCGAACCGATCTGTCAGAGCTAGTGCAACCAAGTCAAGCCGAACCATAAATGATTGGTTTGGTTCTACAGTTTTGCGCTCTTTTTTTATTATTATTTAATTATTTAATTTTTTTGTAAATATACTACTATATGATTATCCTATGGTAATTTATATTCTCTACCAATAAAAACTGAACACTTGTATTATATCACATATAAATTGACCAGAAATAGTACTTGGGTACGCTTTCAAGCAGCTCACCAAGTCACATAGCGAGCAATACAGATCCGCTTGTGCCAAACTCATTGATGGTCCTTGTGAGTTGTGACAGTATGCAATATTATACACTCAAACTGCAAGAATTAAAATACGGGTTTGGGTTTTAAGGTGGCCACTTTGTGCTGATAAAGCTGTCTACTTGGTCAATAGATGAACCTGTTCTAACCTTTGACTTGCCTCCTTTACAACCCAATGAGCTTCAAAACATGATTTGACCTCACGTATACAGCCCTTGCATGTGTATTTTGTACTGAAAACAAATGTTCTTGTGCTTCATGTCACATCCTTTAATTTTCTGCTTTCTCATGTATTTCAGCTGTGTTTGTATATCTCTGGTAAGGTTGCGTAAACATATGAACACTTTCAAGACATCTAATTCTTTGATTTCTCTTTGATGAAAATGTAATTCTGCCTGGACAGACAATGCAGCTATTTATTCTGGCAACTTCATGTTCACTTCGTTAGAAAACCTGTCACCTGATGCAATAAGACGATAGAGATGAGATGCCAGTGACCTTATCACAAGTCAGGATGGAGGTGAATATTCTACTCTGCGGTATATTTAAGAACAGCAGAATACGTGAAGGTCGATATTCTTATTTTATAGTGAATATCTAATATCTAGTCAAAATCACCGTTCTCTTACCTAAATTATGAATGTAAAGCCTCTATCATGATGGGGACCTTCTTGTTGTATTTCATTTACTTTATTTTTTCCAAAGAAGTAATTTGAGCCGGTGAATGGCTTTGATAATACATTTCTTGGTGTTAGCTGATTTTTGAAAGATCTTAGCTGGTGTTTGGACCTTGGGTGTGGGGCCACTGTGCAATTTCAAGCTTGTTCTCGTCACATTTATCTCTGTGGATGTAGAGTAAAATGCAGTTAACTCCAACTTTCATGTCAAGTAAGCTAAAAAAAACTTTTTTTCTATTTCCGGTGAGTGAAGCTATAAAAGAAACTGGTGCCGTGTGATTTACCACACAAATCATTCTTCCTTTTTGATTGCCGATTCAAGTTAGAGCATAAAAAATTTGACTATCTTTGACTCTCACCAATCACGGTGATCAAAGAAATGCAGAATTTCCCATCAGATGACAATTTATCGAAATAGATCTTTCTGACTATTAGACAAAAATGATAGGTATCGACAGCCTATTTTCTTTTATTTTATTCCTGAAATGGAGCAATCTCTTAGTTGTTAAGTTTCTGTGCTCAGGCTGTGTTGTTGACTTGAATATTTTACCCTTGGGTATATGTTGTATCAAGTGATTTGCTAATTGTTGGAACTGTAGAATCCGTGAATCTTGTACCTCTCATGATCAAAATATTGCAGTGGCAACATAATTTCATCTTTGACATCCAAAGTTTATTCATGAATTTTATATATGTTATTCTTCTCTTTATCTACTATCTGTTGAACTGCATACTTGAATTTATTTGGATGGACTCGTGAATATATATGGATCTTGTATATTTTTAGGATTGAAATTTTCACTCTTTTATGCATTTTAAGCTCTTTAATTTTACATATAATTGTAGTGTTTCATTCCCCTGAAGAGGTAGACCTTTTCTGCTGACTCACTTGAGTCAAATTGTACTCTGCACAATTTCCACCAGATGGGGAAGCTGCGTGCAAAGCAATCTCTGAAAGAGAGGAAAGCTTTATATGCACTTCTAAACAGACTGTTATGTGCAACCTACAATACATCCTTTTCTTCTTACTCTCAACTCTCGAGTCTCTAACAGTACAAATGCTATATGTCAGAAGAAGCCGAACTGTGGATTTACACACTCCAAACCATGCAACATCTGTCCATATGGTTGCTGCTAACAACGACCTCTTAATCCAAATCCTCCTACACATCCCCTTAAGATCTCTACTCCTGATTCAAATCTGTATCCAAATGCTGGTTCTCTCTCATCACCAACCCCCATTTCTCTCCTGCAGACAGAACACCAACTCCCCATAATGCCTGTTCTCGTGGGTCCTTATTCCTCATCAACCCAGAATAAGATTTCGTTTCCCTTGATGATGACAATTCAACGAGAGCTCCTTTCAATAGGCTCACTTCCGTTTTTGCGAATCCTGCTTAGAGGGTAAAACAACCAAAAGGCCTTTTATGCCTAAGGGGCATAGTGCAGGACTGTAGCTCTGTTGTTGTAGCTTCCAAGTGCTTACTGGCAATGCAATTATCACATCTACAATCCAACGTCACCACACTTCCTGATCCTTCTTGCTGAGCTTTCAGGATCACTTGCGGGTTTGAATCGGTTTGCGGCATTTATTTAGCTTTTGATCCATCAAAATCACCTCACTACAAAGTTGTTTGCATTTATTTCTCCTTATCATTGCCTGAGCATCATGAGATTGAGATCTACTCATCCGATACTGGCCTTTGGACACCCTTTCCTTGCAGATGTTTCTTTCTTGAGAGGGGGTCTTCTTGGATGGTGCTATTCATTGAATCAGCACCTATGCTGATTCCTTGTACTTTAATGTCGATGAAGAGCGTCTTGGGACAATGCTGATGCCTCCCCTGCCGGATGACTGGGAGGGGAGGAGGGTCAAGTACTTGGGAGAGCGTCGCGACCATGTGCATCTAGTTTAGATCTCCGGTCCACATTACGCTCTTTAATGTATATGAAATGGAGAGAGGCTATTCTGCGTGGTGGTTCGGGAAATACCATGTTGATCTTGATTCGATACCAGCCGCTTTTCCAGAGATGATTAGTAAACATCTTTTACCATCGGACTTGCATTAATACAAATTTGTTATACTGAGTCTTGTTCAGGAAGAAGATGTTGAGGACTCATTTATGGTTTTGCACGTCCCTGGTTAAGCTATATGCTACAAAATGGGGAACAGAACTTTTAAGAAGCTTTGTGATTTTGTTCCAGGTCTTCCTGTCATCGAAATGCATATAGAGGGTTTTTTACAGTTTGGGTCAGACAATGCTTTTCAATACATTTGAGTCTCTCCAGCATTTGACAGCTTTTCTTGGTTAATCATTTGTGTCATCTTGCATCATTGTATATGTTTGCTGTTTCAGTTTGACATTGTTAGCATGTTTGTTTTATAATAGTACTTCATTATCATGACGATTCCTCATATTTAATCCTTAGAATAAGTCTAAACCTAAGATAGTCAACTTGTAGCTTTGGCTAATGTTCAATGTTAGTCATGAAGCTTTGCTGTCTAATGATTTGTGTATTGTTCTGTCTTGCAAAATTAAGTTTTATACGAGTAAAAAAATTGAAACTTCTGAGTGATGAAGTAGGATGAGAAAAATAATCTAATTTAAAGTTCAATTCTTTGTGGTCAACATTCAAAAGAGGGTGTAATGCGCAAGCACTAATCATCTCTAATTCACTTGCTTGTTAAATATCACAAATCTCTCTCCAGATCTGATGGAAACATGTTATCCTTCAAAACTATTCCAATTGCAAAGGTCTTCAACACCCCCAGGCCACAAAATCCATCACCGGCAGATGAAGTCGCCTCCAACGATGACCTCCTGATCGAAATCCTAATACATCTACCTGTAAAATCACTCCTCCAATTCAAATCCGTGTCCAAACGTTGGCTCTCTCTCATCACCAGCCCCCACTTGTCTAACCGTCGATACCCTTACCCTTGCACCCCCTCCGGCCTGTTCTTGCGCCCACTCTGTGGCAACCCATTCAACCACCACATCTTGGAAGAAGAATTCATCCCAATTGACAACCGTGGAAATCTTACTTCTGCCCCCTTTGGAGCTTGCTCTTATTTTCCGGACCTGTCAAGTGTAAGAATTTTAGATTCTTGCAACGGACTATTGTGTTGTTCGAGCTCTTCTAGAGTTGAGTGTGAAGAAAACTATCATGTCTACAATCCTACTACCAAGCAGTTCATTACGCTTCCTGAACCCGGTCAAGGTGTTCAAAGGAACATTGATTGCTTGAGTTTAGCTTTTGATCCTTCAAAATCACCTAACTAAAAAGTTGTTTGCGTTTGGAGCACTGATTTGGTGTATCGTGAGTGTTTTCAGATTGAGATTTACTCTTCTGAGACCAGACGTTGGAGAAAATCTGTTGAGCTTTTCAATGCAGGCTACGCACAATTTGATAATGGGGTGTATTGGAATGGTGCAATTAACTGGATTAGCTCATGGGGATACTGGTGGTATTTCAATATCGATCACGACCGACTTGGAACAATGCCTATGCAGCCCCATTGTGACGAACGGTTCAAGCGACCATTTAGATATTTCGGTAAGTCTCATGACCATCTGCATCTTGTTGAGATCTATTTCATGACTCAATTCGATGTTTATGAGATGAAGAGAGACTACTCGGAGTGGTTTGTTAAGTACCGTGTTGATCTTGAAGGCGTTGTGAGTGCATTTCCCGAGATGATTCTAAACCACTTTGACCCATTGGACTTGGAAAGTTATGCATTTTCCATACTTTCTCTTGTCAGGGGGGAGAGAGACGAAGAGTCATTTTTGGTGCTGCACACACCTGGGAAGGTCTTGCGATATAACATCGCGGACAAGACATTCAAGAAGCTATGTGATGTTGGTCCACATTGCTGTTTTGCTGAGAATTTGGAGGTCAAGAGTTCTTTAAGATATGCATGGTTTGATGCTTTTCAATATATTGAGTCCCTCTTATGTGTTTGACAATGTTTCTTGCCTAAAATCAGATGGACTCACTCTTGTTATCTGAAACGAGCAAGCTCTGAGTTGGCAAGTTTCTGCGCTCAGGCTCTGTTGTTTGCTTGAATATTTTACTTTTAGGTATGTTGTAGCCCGGAGAAGTCGTCCTGCACGATTTTATCTTTGACATCAAAAGCTTATTCATGAATTTTTATGTATGTTATTCTTCTCTTCCTGCTCTTTATCTGCTATCTGTTCAATTACTTTCTTGAATTTTGGATCGATTATGCATCATTTTAAAATTGAAAGTTTAGCTAAGTAGTAGCCTGCGTGCAGAGCAATCTTGGAAACAGAGGAGAGCTTTATAAACAATTTGAAACAGACTGTTTTGTGCAACCTACAGTACATCTATTTCTTCCTACTTTCAAGTCTCTAGTTTCTAACGGTACTGATGTTTTCTGTCAAGAGAAGCCGAACTGTGGATTTCCACACTCCAAGCCACGCAGCATCTGCCCATACAGTTGCTGCTAACAACGACCTCTTAATCCAAATCCTCCTACACCTCCCCATAAGATCTCTCTTTCGATTCAAATCCATGTCGAAACACTGGCTCTCTCTCATCACCGACCCCCATTTCTCTCGTCTCCAAAACCATAACACTAGGTCTCCCTCAGGTTTGTTCTTGCGCAGGTCCTCATTTGTCATCAACCCAGAATATGATTTCGTCCCTCTTGATGATGGCAGTTCAACCAGAGCTCCTTTCAGAAGTCTCACTTTCGTTAACGATCCTTACGGTCTAATAATTTTACAGTCCTGCAACGGGTTACTCTGTTGTTGTAGCTACCGACTGATTAATGGTAAACGCAAATATTACATCTACAATCCCACTACCAACAACCCGATCCATCTCGCCGAGATTTCAGGATCAATCGTGGGATTGAATCGGTTCACGGTGTTCATTTAGCTTTTGATCCATCAAAATCACCTCACTACAAAGTTGTTTGTGTTTATTCCTTGAGATCATTGCCTGAGCATCATGAGATTGAGATCTACTCATCCGAAACTGGCCTTTGGACACCCTCTGGTCACCCTTTCCTTGCAGATGTTTTTTTCCCTGAGAGGGGTCTTCTGGAATGGTGCTATTCATTGGATCAGCACCTGTTCTGATTCCTTGTACTTCAATGTTGACGAAGAGCGTCTCAGGACAATGCCGATGCCTCCCCTGACGGATGACTGGGAGGGGAAGAGGGTTAAGTACTTCGGAGAGAGTCGTGACCATTTGCATCTAATTTTGATCTCCGGTCCACGCACTACGCTCTTTGATGTATATGAGATGGAGAGAGGCTACTCTGCGTGGTTCGTGAAATACCGTGTTGATCTTGATTCGATAGCAACTGCTTTTCCAGAGATGATTAACGAACATCGTTTACCATCGGACAGATTTTTTATACCGAGTCTTGTTCAGGAAGAAGTTGATGAGGACTCATTTATCGTTTTGCGCATCCCTGGTAAAGCTATTCGCTACAATTTGGGGAAAAAAAAAACTTTTAAGAAGCTCTGTGATTTTGCTCCAGCTCGTCTGCCTATAGAGCGTTTGTTAAGAGTTTGGGTCAGACAATGCTTTTCAATACATCGAGTCTCTCTCCAGCGTTTAACAGCTTTTCTTGGTTAATCATTAGTGTTGCATGTTTTCATTGTATATGTTGTTTATTGTTTCAGTTTGACATTGTTAGCATGTTTGTTTTATAACAATACTTCATTATCATGATGATGCCTCATTTTTTATCCTTTGATTAAATATAAACCCAAGGTAGTCAAATTATAGCTTTGGCTGATATTCAATGTTAGTTAACGAGCAAGTCTAATGAAGCTTTGCTGTCATGTTTTTTTTTTTAATTGTTTTGTCTTTGCACAAGTCACAAATCTCCATCCACAGATCTGATGGAAACATGTTATCCTTCAAAACAAGTCCAAATGCCAATATCTCCAACACCCCCAGGTCACATCACCTATCACCAGCGTTTACTTAGCTTTTGGTCCATCAAAATCACCTCACTACAAAGTTGTTTGTGTTTATTACTCCAAAAAATTGCCTAGCATCATGAGATTGAGATCTACTCATCCGAAACTGGCCTTTGGACACCCTTTCCCTGCAGATGATCCTTTCCTGGGAGGGGTCTTCTGGAATGGTGCTATTAATTGGATCAGCACCTGTGCTGATTCCCTATACTTCAATGTCGACCAAGAGCGTCTCCGGACAATGCCAATGCCAATGCCTCACCTACCGGATGGTCAAGTAGTTCGGAGAGTCTCGTGACCATTTGCTACTAATTCAGATCTCCAATCCACTCTTTGATGTATATGAGATGGAGAGAGACTACTCTGCGTGGTTCGTGAAATACCATGTTGATCTTGATTCTATCCCAACAACTTTTCCACAGATGATTAACGAACATCTTTTACCGTCTCACTTGAATTATTACAAATTTGTTATACTGAGTATTGTTCAGGGAGAAGATGACAGACCACTCATTTATGGTTCTGCATATCCCTGGTAAGGCTATACGCTACAATTTCAAGAACAAAACTTTTAATAAGCTTTGTGATTTTGCTCCAGGTCGTCCTCGTATCGAATTTCATATAGAGGGTTACTTACAATTCGGGTCACATGCTATTCAATACATTGAGTCTCTCTGCAGCGTTGATGATGACCAATGTTAATTCATAGCTTTGGCGAATATTCAATGTTAGTTGATGACCAAGTCATAAGAAGCTTGAACTTCCGGGGAAAAAAAAAAGGTCATAAGAAGCTTTGCTGTCTATTTTTTAATTTTTTGTCTTGCACAGTAGGTTTTATACAAGTAAAAGATTGAAGCTTCTTGAGTGATGAAGAAGATGAGAAAAGTATTCTACGTGTAAAATCCAATACATTGCCTGTTGTCAACAACATTCAACAATGTACTGTATCTTTGAAATAGTCAGATAGAGGAAGACTACATATACACTTAAAAGAGGGTGTTATACACAAACACAAACCACCGCTGGTTCACTTGCCTGTTGAGGATCACAAATCACACAACCAAATCTGATACAAAACATGTTAGCCATCAAAACTAATCCAACTGCCAATGTCTCCAACACCCCCAGGCCACAACACCCATCACTAGCAGATAAAGTTGCCTCCATTGATGACCTCTTAACCGAAATCCTAATACCTGCAAAATCACTCGTCCGATTCAAATCCGTGTCCAAACATTGGCTCTCTCTCATCACCGGCTCCCACTTGTCTCACCGTTGGTACCCCCTCCGGCCTGTTCTTGCACCCACTCTGTGGCAACTCGCTTCGCCACCTACATCACCCTTGCACCTACTCTGGCCTACCCTCACATCCCTTCAAAAACCACATCCCTGAAGTCGAATTCATCCCCATCAACGACTCTGAAAATGCGACTGATGTCCCCTCTAGAGCTCTTAGTTATTTTCTAGGTGTATCAGGTGTAAGAATTTTAAATTCTTGCAATGGATTATTGTTTTGTTCTAGCTCTTCTAGAGTTGAGTGGGCAGAAAACTATCGTGTCTGCAATCCTACAACCAAGCAGTTCGTTACGATTCCTAGACCTGATCAGGGTGAAGCGAGCATTGAGGGCTTGAGTTTTGCTTTTGATCCTTCGAAATCACCTCACTACAAAGTTGTTTGTGTTCTGAGTGCTGCTTTGTTGAAACAACAGCATTTTCAGATTCAGGTTTACTCATCTGAGACTAGATGTTGGAGAAAATGTGGTGAGCTTTTTGATGCAGACTATACACAATTTGAAAATGGAGTCTATTGGAATGGTGGAATTCACTGGATTAGCTCATGGGGGGACTGGTGGTATTTCAATATCGACAACGACCAGCTCGGAACAATGCCGGTGCTGCCGGTTTGTGAAGTACAGGACGAGAGGCCGATTAGGTACTTCGGGGAGTCTCATGGCCATCTGCATCTTATTGAGATCTATTTCATGACTAGATTCGATGTTCATGAGATGAAGAGAGACTATTCAGAGTGGTTGGTTAAGTACCGCGTTGATCTCGAAGGCGTTGTGAGTGCATTTCCTGAGATGATTTTGAACCACCATGACCTAATGGACTTGGAAAGTTATGCATTTTCCATACTCTCACTCGTCAGGGGAGTGAGAGATGATGAGTCATTTTTGGTGCTGCACATACCTGGGAAGGTATTGCATTCCAACATTGTGGACAAGACATTGAAGAAGCTATGTGATGTTGGTCCTCGTTGCTGTCCAGCTGAGAATTTGGAGGTCAAGAGTTCTTTAAGATATGCAGGGTTTTGTGCTTTTGAATATATTGATTCCCAATTTTGTGTTTGACAATGTTTCTTGCTTTGACTCACTCGGGTCATGATTTAAGATGTTAAAATTGGAAACATGCCAGTTTTGATAGTGTGATTTTAGAAATGATGCTTTATTTCATGTTTGTATTGTGAATGTCTCAAAACCTCTTAGGTTAATCAAGTTTCATGCTTTATCTGTGTTACTACATTGTAAATCAACATATAAATTCATACACACACACACACACATATCAACACATATAAAGAGAAGGAGAGAGAGTGACCTGATCTTGACGTAGGGCTCAAAAAGCTCTACCAAGATGAAACAATCTAAGATTCGAATGCCGACCGACATGGAAGTGTTGGGGTTGAGTGAACCAATCATGTTGGTAGAGTGAGTTAAAAATTTGAGATGATTTGGTATTTAAAATCTTTGATTGAATTATGAGATTTAATTTGTTGATTTGGAGTGTTTGGAATTATAATGCAATTTCAATTCCAAAATTCTAATACATTGGTGCTAAACACACCCTAGGTTAATCAAGTTTCATTGATTCAAAAATTCCTAAGAACTTTTTATTGTGTAAGGTTTGAATTTTAATAATTCTTTGTGTTTAGACTTCACAGCCTCTAAAAATTAGATATGGAATAAGAGGGAAAATTGAAAACATGCAAGCATATTTTCTTTTTCTATTTTTAGAAACTCTAAAACAAAAACAATTGAAAACTAACAGATGAAAAATGATTTACAACCTAGTCAAGTCAACAACTCATTTTAATATGACTATATGAGAATTTAATACATACAAACAATCCATTATTTTATTTGTTTGATTTTTTTATGCCATGAGAGTGTTATACAAGTCGAGTCTAACTCTTAAACAAAAAAAATAGGGAGCTGTCACAGTGCTTTAACCAACAAAATGTAATGGTCATATCACTCACTATAGCATTCATTTCTATAACAACCAATTATTTATATAAACAATGCGACTCAAAGATAACCTATTTTTTATGAATGGACTTTTTAATGGGTTGAATCCTCACCAGTTGACCCTATCGAACTTGGCACAAACATCTCCAACCCCATAGAATGGGCCACATCTGGGCCCAACTACATGGACATTGGTTTATGCCCAACAAGCCCATCTTGGGTGATTAATCAACTTAACCGCCAGAAACAAATGGCTTTAACTTCATTCGGCCCAAAATCAACGCGACGTATCAAGTACAATCGACTGTTACTTTCATTGTCTTGTCTAGTTTACGTTTCTTCACACGCCACTCTTCTGCTCTCTCTCTCTCTCTCTCTCTCTCTCTCTCTTCCTCCTCCCCCCCCCCCCCCCAATAACGTTACGGTTTGTAAGGTTTGCATAGTCCCCATTTCAAGACCTCAGGAAAAAGCTGAAAAGTGAAACCCCACTAAGATTCTCTCATCTGTCGTCTGTAAATTGTTTTTGATTACTCCCAATTAGGGATTTATAGATCCCAAAATTCGAATTCTCACCTGCTTCCGAGACACAGAATCCCAATTCAAAGAATCGGAAGAAGAATTTCGATTACACTGTGTCAGTTGGAGATTCGCTGTCGAGACAAATAATTTGAGCCTATAGAAGACAATTCCACATGAATGTGCTGATTATGTGTGAAGGACTCTATCATGAGTCTTGCTTATAGAATTGACCTCGAAAGAGAGTCCAAGAGGCCAGATTTTATGCAAAGAGCTTGGAATTGAGTGGAGATGGGAAAGATGTATGGATATTTGATGTTGGTGTGACTCTGCTTTCGAATCTTCCGTATTATGCAGGGCATGGTTATAGGTAATATTCTTTAAATTTTCTCAAAAGTTGTGTTTGATTGAACTAATTATTCTTAAATTTGTTGATTTATTTATTTATTTTTTGTACTTTTAGTTTTGTGGACAATTTCATGCAATTGGGCTAATGTGTTTTCATGGAATTCGACTCTGAACTTTGGAATTGCTTGTTGTGAAAAAATGATTTGTTTAACTTTTAAGAAGCTTTGTGATTTTGCTCCAGGTCGTCTTGGTATCGAAATGCATATTTAGGTTTCAATACATTGAGTTTCTCTGCAGCATTCTACAGTTTTTCTTGATTAGTCATTTTAGTCGTCCGTTTTCATTGTATATGTTGTTTGTTGTTTCAGTTTGACATTGTTAGTATGTTTGTTTTATAAATTAAAACTTCTTTATAATGATGATGCTTTATTTTTAATCCTTGAATTAAATATAAACCATGATAGTCAATTTGTAGCTTTGGAGTGTATTCAATGTATGAAACTTTGCTGTCTAATGCTTTTTGGTGTTTTGTCTTGCACAATAGGTTTTATACAAGTAAAAGATAGAAACTTAACAGCGACGAAGACCGATGAAAAAAGTATCCTAATGTAATTCAATACTCTGTGGTCAACATTCGACAATGCACAACAATCTTTGAAACAAGAGCGCACATACATAGATACACACTTAAAAAAGAGGGTGTTCTGCACAAACACAAGCCACTTCTGATTCACTTGCCTGTTCAAGATCACAAATCACACATCTAGATCTGATACAAACATGTTATCCGTCAAAACAAGTCCAACTGCCAATGTCTCCAAGTACCTCAGGCCACAGCACCCATCACCAGCAGATGAAGTTGCCTCCAATGATGACCTCTTAGTCGAAATCCTAATACATCGACCTGTAAAATCACTCCTCCGACTCAAATCCGTGTCCAAACGTTGGCTTTCTCTCATCACCAGCCCCCACTTGGCTCACCGATACCCTCACCCTTGCACCCCCTCCGGCCTGTTCTTGCGCCCACTCTGTGGCCACCTATTATTCGACCACCACATTCATGAAGTTGAATTCATCCCTATCAACTACCATGAAAATCTAACTGATGGCCCCTTTAGAGATCTTACTTATTTTCCTGGTCTATCAGGTGTGATAAGAATTTTAAATTCTAGCAATGGACTATTTTGTTGTTCTAGCTCTGCTAGAGTTGATTGTTAAAAAAACTATCACATCTACAATCCTACTACCAAGCAGTTCATTATGCTTCCTGAACCTGGTCAGAATGTTCAAATGAAAACTTTTGTTCATAGGTATATTAATGGTTTGAGTTTAGCTTTTGATCCTTCCAAATCACCTCACTACAAAGTTGTTTGTGTTTGGAGCACTATTTTGTTGTTTCGTCAACATTTTCAGATTGAGATTTACTCATCTGAGACCAGACGTTGGAGAAAATCTGGTGGGCGTTTCACTGGAACTCATACACATTTTCATTGTGGGGTCTATTGGAATGGTGCAGTTAACTGGATTAGCCCATGGGAGGACTGGTTGTGTTTCAATGTCCATCACAAGCGACTCAGAATAATGCCGATGCTACCCATTCGTGAGGGACGGTATAAGCGGCCCTTCAGGCACTTCGGGGAGTCTCATGACCATCTACATCTTATTGAGATCTATTTCATGACTCAATTCGATGTTTATGAGATGAACAGAGACTACTCGGAGTGGTTTGTTAAGTACCGCGTTGATCTTGAAGGCGTTGTGAGTGCATTTCCTGAGATGGTTTTGAACCACCTTGACCCAATGGACTCGGAAAGTTATGCATTTTCCGTACTTTCTCTTGTCAGGGGAGAGAGTGATGAAGAGTCATTTTTGGTGCTGAACATACCTGGGAAGGTCTTACAGTACAACATTGTGGACAAGACATTCAAGAAGCTATGTGATGTTGGTTCAAGTTGCAGTCCAGCTGAGAACTTGATGGTCAATAGTTCTTTAAGATATGCATGGTTTTATGCTTATCAATACATTGAGTCGCTCTTTTGGTTTTGACAATGTTTCTTGCTTGGACTCACTCGTGTCATGATTAAATATGTTAAAATTATAAAAATTTCAATTTTAATTGTGTGATTTTAGAAATGATAGATTCATTTCATATTTGTATTGTGAATGTCTCAAAACCACTTGGTTAATCATGCTTTACCATTTGCTCTGTCTCAAATTCCCATTATTAATTATTTAAGGTAAGAACTTCAATGAACTATGTTGATCATAAATAGATTAAAATTATTTATTGCTTCCTGTGTTAAATGAGTCTCAACAATTACTAACTTGAGCTATTGAATTTGCGAACTTACACATTAGGGTGTTCTGAAAACTTTTATTGATCTCCAACTCGAACTTATTGACTTGCTTCACGTTAAACTTGACTAAACGAGGCAAACAAAACAGAATTGAGCTTCCAAAAACTTAATTAAGCCATGCTCTAATGTTAATTTTTTGATTGGGCTTGCACAATTCAAGTTTAAATCAACGCGGAGTTTGTATGTGTCAAGTATTACTCGATCTTCATTGTCCTCTCTATTTTACTTTTCTTCACACGCCACTCTTCTTCTTTCTCCTTTCTCTCTGGTCAAAAACGTTACTGGTTGTAGGGTTTTTTTATCCACAATTAGAAATGCATTGTCCCCATTTCAAGACCTCGGAAAAAAGCGAAACGCCACCACGCAACTCTTTGGATTCTCTCATCTTTCGTCTGTAAATTGTGTTTGATTTCTCCGATTTAGAGATTTATGGATCCCAAAATTCGAACTCTCACCTGCTTCCGAGATCTTTGATCCTCGAATACATTGTACCGGTAGGAGATTCGCTGTTGAGACAAACAATTTGAGCCCTTGGAAGACAATTCTACAGGAATGTGCTGATTAAGTGAAAGACGATTATGTGAAATACTACATGACGAGTCCTGCTTATAGAGTCGACCTCAAAAGGGTGTCCAAATATACATACATCTGTCGGTTTATTGCTTTGGCTAATATTCAGTGTTGGTTGATGAGCAAGTCATACGAAGCTTGAAGATTTTTGTTGTTGTTTTGTCTCGCACAATAGGTTTTATACGAGTAAAAGATTGAAGCTTCCTAGTGTGAAAAAGGATGAGAAAAGTATTCTAATGTAAAATTCAATACTTTGTGGTCAACAGTCAACAATGTACAACAATCTTTGAAATAATCACACACATAAACATAGAGGAAGTCTTCATATACACTACAAAAGAGGGTTTTTTTCCACAAACACAGACCACCTCTGTTTCACTTGCCTGTTCAAGATCACAAATCACACAACCAAATCTGTGCAAACATGTTATCCTTCAAAACGAGTCCAACTGCCAATGTCTCCAACACCCTCAGGCCACAACACCCATCACCAGCAGATGAAGTTGCCTCCAATGATGACCTCTTAGTCGAAATCCTAATACATCTACCTGCAAAATCACTCCTCCGATTTAAATCCGTGTCCAAACGCTGGCTCTCTCTCATCACAAGCCCCCACTTGTCTCGCCGTCGATACCCTCACCCTTGCGCCCACTCTGGTCTGTTCTTAGCGCCATTCTGTGCAAGCTCGCTTCGCCGCCTAGACCTTCATCCTTGCACCTGCTCTGGCCTACCCCCACACCCATTCAACCACCACATCCCCGAGGTCGAATTCATCCCTATCCACAACCATGAAAATCCAACTGATTCCCCCTATAGAGCACTTACTTGTTTTACAGGCCTATCAGGTGTAAGAATTTTAGATTCTTGCAATGTATTAATATGTTGTGCTAGCCCTTCTAGTGTTGTGTGTGAAGAAAACTATCATGTCTACAATCCTACTACCAAGCAGTTCATTATGCTTCCTGAACCCGGTCAGGGTGTTCTAAAGAACATGTATGGCATGACTTTAGCTTTTGATCCTTCAAAATCACCTCACTACAAAGTAGTATGTGTTTGGAGCACTTTTTTGTTGAATCATGAGCAATTTCAGATTGAGATTTACTCATCTGAGACCAAATGTTGGAGAAAATCTGGTGACCTTTTCACTGCAGATGATATAAGCTTTCATGGTGGGGGTCTATTGGAATGGTGCAATTAATTGGCTTAGCTCTTGGGGGGACTCATTGTATTTCAATGTCGATGACGATCGACTCAGAGCAATGTCGATGCTACCTGTTCCAGATGGACGGTATGAGCGGCCGTGTGGGTATTTTGGGGAGTCTCATGACCATCTGCTTCTTATTGAGATCTCTTTCATGACTCAATTCCACGTTTATGAGATGAATAGAGACTACTGGGGGTGGTTTGTTAAGTACCGCATCGATCTTGAAGGCGTTGCGAGTTCATTTCCTGAGATGATTTTGAACCACCATGACCTAACGGACTTGGAAAGTTATGCATTTTCCATACTCTCTCTTGTCAGGGGAGTGAGAGACGAGGAGTCATTTTTGGTGCCGCACATACCTGGGAAGGTCTTGCGTTACAACATTGTGGACAAGACATTCAAGAAGCTATGTGATGTTGGTTCTTTTTGCTGCCCAGATGAGAATTTGGAGGTCAAGAGTTCTTTAAGATATGCATGGTATTATGCTTATCAATATATTGAGTCCCTCTGGTGTTTGACAATGTTTCTTGCTTAAAATCAGATGGACTCTCTCTCTCTCTTGTGTCATAATTAAATATGTTAAAATTAGAAACCATGTCAGTGTTGGTAGTGTGATTTTTAGAAATTATGTTCCATTTCATATTTGTATTCTGAATGTCTCAAAACCACTTAGGTTAATCAAGTTTCATGCTTTATCCATTACTACTAGCATTACAAATCAAAATATAAATTCATATATATACATATATATAAAGAGAAGAAGAGAGACCTGTTGACTTAGGGGTGGAAGGGCTTGATTGAGATTGAAACATGACATGTATATGTTGTTTGTTGTTTCAGTTTGACATTGTTACCATGTTTGTTTTATAATTAAAACTTCATTATAATGGTGAAGGTGTTTTTTTTCAATTCTTGGATTAAATATTTACCCAAGACAGTCAGTTTATTGCTTTGGCGAATATTCAGCGTTAGTTGATGAGCAAGTCATAAGAAGCTTTGCTGTCTAATTTTTGTTGTTGTTTTGTCTTGCAAAATAGGTAAAAGATTGAAACTTCTTTAGTGTGAGAAAGGATGAGAAAAGTATTCTAATGTAAGATTCAATACTTTGTGGTCAACATTCAACAATGTACAGCAATCTTTGAAATAGTCACACACATATGCACAGAGGAAGACTACATAAACACTACAAAAGAGGAAACACAAACCACCTCTGTTTAACAAATCACACAACCATATCTGTACAAACACGTTACCCTTAAAAACGAGTCCAACTGCCAATGTCTCCAGCACCCATCACCAGCAGATGAAGTTGCCTCCAATGATGACCTCTTAGTCGAAATCCTAATACATCCGCCTACAAAATCACTCCTCCGATTCAAATCCGTGTCTAAACGCTGGCTCGCTCTCATCACAAGCCCCCACTTGTCTCACCGTCGATACCCTCACCCTTGCGCCCCCTCTGGTCTGTTCTTGCTGCCACTTTGTGGCAGCTCGCTTCGCCACCTAGACCTTCATCCTTGCACCTGCTCTGGCCTACCCCCACACCCATTCAACCACCACATCCCTGAAGTCGAACTCATCCTCAGCGACAGCCATGAAAATCTAACTGATTCCCCCTTTAGAGCTCTTACTTGTTTTCCAGGCCTATTGGGTGTAAGAATTTTAGATTCTTGCAATGGACTAATATGTTGTTCTTGTGTTGTGTGTGAGGAAGACTACAATCCTACTACCAAGCAGTTCATTACGCTTCCCGAACCCGGTCAGGGTGTTCGAAGGAACTTTGATGGCTTGAGTTTAGCTTTTGATCCTTCAAAATCACCTCACTACAAAGTAGTATGTGTTTGGAGCATTGTTTTGTTGAATCATGAGCATTTTCAGATTGAGATTTACTCATCTGAGACCAAATTTTGGAGAAAATCTGGTGAGCTTTTCACTGCATATGATACAAATTTTCATGGTGGGGTCTATTGGAATGGTGCAATTAATTGGGTTAGCTTTTCGGGGGACTCATTGTATTTCAATGTCGATAACGATCGGCTCAGAACAATGGCAATGCTACCCATTCGCGACGGACAGTACGAGCGGCCGTTTAGGTACTTCAGGGAGTCTCATGACCATCTGCATTTTATTGAGATCTATTTCATGACTTAATTCGATGTTCATGAGATGAAGAGAGACTACTCGAAGTGGTTTGTTAAGTACCGTGTTGATCTTGAAGGCGTTGTGAGTGCATTTCCTGAGATGATTTTGAACCACATTGACCTAATGGACTTGGAAAGTTACGCATTTTCCATACTCTCTCTTGTTAGGGGAGAGAGTGATGATGAGTCATTTTTTTTTTTTTTTTTGGATAAGTAAGAAATTAATAAAAAGTGCTCAAAAGGGGAGCGCATCCCAAGGGAACAAAAAGGGGCCAAAACAGCCATTACACTTTTAAAGAGGCCAAAAAGTCAACTATTTTATCTAAAGATCTATAATCTCTACTTGAGACCCAACAAAAAAGAGTGGAAATAATAGAGAACTTAAGAAAAAAAATAGGCCTCTTCTTCCCCTCAAAATATCTCTTATTCCTCTTAAGCCAAATACACCACCACACACAAAGAGGAGTAGCCCTCCAAGCATAACGAACATAGCCCCCCACAAAATACCCTCTCCAAGCCTCGACCAACTCTCTGGCGGAGTGAGGCATGACCCATTGGAACCCAAACAAGCCAAGCATCAAATCCCAACAATCCTTGGCCATGGGGCAATGCAAAAGAAGATGGTCCACTGTCTCCTCGTCCCTAGGACACATGTAGCACCGATTGACCACCACCTGATTTTTCCTTTTTAAATTATCCTAAGTTAAAATTTTGCTCAACACAGAAGTCCACGAAAAGAAGGCCACTTTGAGAGGAGCCTTAGAACGCCAAACCGACTTCTACGAGAAGGGCCTTCCAGGCTCCACAGAAAGACACCTGAAGAAGGACCGCACATCAAAACAACCCTGAGCACTGGGAGCCCAAATCCAACCATCAGACTCACCAACCGTGACTCCCTGCTGATACAATAACTCCAATAGACGAATGGCATCCTCAACATCCCAATCCTGAAAGAGACGCCTGAACCGAACATCCTACACCAGTCTCCCGCTATCAAGATGGTAATAGTCAACTATCATAGCTTGCTTATTCGAAGCAATTCTAAACAGCCGTGGAAAAGCGAGAGGAAGAGAAATATCTCCACACCAAACATCCTCCCAGAAACTGATTCTCCCTCCATCCATGAATCTAAAACGGACATTTAAGGATAAATCAAACCAACCCTTCCGAATGCACTTCCAGATCGCCACACCCCTCGGACCACGCACCTCAAGAGAACACCACCCTCCTCTGCTCTCCCCAAACCTACTAGCAACAACCCTCTTCCAAAGTCAATGCCTTTCAACTCTAAACCTCCGCAACCATTTTCCAAGGAGAGCTTTATTGAAAGGCACCAATCTATGAAGCCCCAACCCACCATTACGAATAGGCTTGTAAAACATGCTCCCACCGAACCAAATGAAACTTAAACTCTTCCCCTCTGCCCCCCCCCCCCCCCCCCCCCCCCCCCACACCCCACAGATAATTACGCTGCAAGCGCTCAATTCTCTCAGCCACAAAGATAGGAATCTGGAAAAGCAAAATAAAATAAGTAGGAAGGCAAGAGAGGGTACTCTTAATTAGAGTGACCCACCCTCCCTTGGAAAAATACTGTTTCTTCCAGCCCGCAATCCTCTCAAATCTATCCACAACTGGATCCCAAACTCCCACACATCTCGAAGAATCTCCTAGAGGCAAACCTAAATAAGAGATAGGAAAAGAGCCAGTGCGACAACCAAGAATACTAGCAAACAAGCCGATCTCAGGAACCTCCCCAACTGGCACCAAAACACTTTTGCCAACATTCACCTTCAGGCCGGAAACTACTTGGAACCAGATCAAGACACATCTCAAATACCTGAGCTGGGACTCCTCCGCATCACACAACACGAGCGTATCATCAGCAAACATCAAGTGAGAGATCTCTAACTGGCTAGCAGCATCTCTACCCACCTGGAACCCTCTCAAAAAGCCCAACTCAACAGCCCTCCTCATCAACTTACTCAGAGCCTCCATCTTAAAGAGGAACAAGAATGGGGAAAGTGGGTCACCCTGCCTCAAGCCCCTCGAACTGGAGAAAAAACAGGTCGGAGCTCCATTCACAAGAATTGAGAACCGAGCACTGGAGATACAAAAATGAATCCATTTCTTCCATCTCACTCCAAACCCCATCCTCTCCAATAAATAGAGAAGGAAACTCCAACTCACATGGTTATACGCCTTCTCAATATCCAGTTTACATTGAACACCTGGAACCCCACTACTCAATCTGGAGTCCACACACTTACTAGTAATAAGAACTGAGTCAAGAATCTGAAGACTTCCCACAAAAGCATTCTGAGAATTAGAAATCACACCATCCATCACTTTCTTCAAACGAAGAGCAAGGACTTTGGCAATCAACTTGTAAATGCATCTTACTAAACTGATAGGGCGAAAATCCCGGACATCCAAAGCCTCCTCTTCTTAGGGATGAGAGCAACAAAGGTGGCATTCAAGCTCTTCTCAAAAGACCCCTGGGTATGGAAAGCTTGAAAAGTGCCCATCACCTCCCCTTGAACCACCTCCCAGCACTCCAGAAGGAAAGACATGGTAAACCCATCAGGACCTGGGGCTTTATCCCCGTTATAGCTCTTCAAAGCAGACAAGACTTCCTCTTTAGAAAAAGGCTCTTCCAAGCCCGCACACTCCTCGCAAGAAATGGTGTCGAACTGAAGCCCCTCAAGCAGAGGTCTCCACGTAGCAACCTCTGTGAACAACTCCGCGTAGTACTCAGCAATACCTTTGGCGTTGCACATACCTGGGAAGATCTTGCATTTCAACATTGTGGACAAGACATTCATGAAGCTATGTGATGTTGGTTTTCGTTGCTGTCCAGCTGAGAATTTGAAGGTCAAGAGTTCTTTAAGATATGCATGGTTTGATGCTTTTCAATATATTGAGTCCCTCTTTTGTGTTTGAAAATGTTTCCTTTTTTGGACTCACTCAGTCACTCATGTCATGATTTCGTTCTCCAACCGATACATATCAACACACACATATATAGAGAGGAGAAAAGAGAAAGACCCGAACTTGACCTAGCTTCGCAAGGTTCGACTGAGATGGAACAATCTAAGGTCCTGACGTTGGTTGACATGGAAATGTTGGTGTCGAATGAGCCATCGAGAAGTATCAATCGTGTTAGTCAAGTGATCAATGGAGATCAAGAGATATCAACGATGGAGAGAGAAGGGTTTTGTATCGGATTAAAAATCTGATATGATTTGATATTTGAAATCTCTTATTGAATAGTAGGATTTAGTTTGTTAATTTGGGGTGTTTAGGATTATAATTTGTAATAGTTAAATAGTGTTGAAATCTCTGATTGAATCGTAGGATTTAGTTTGTTAATTTGGGGTGTTTGGGATTATGATTTGTAATATTTAAATAGTGTATTTGAGTTTCTAATTCTAATTTCAAAACTTCAATATACCTACCTTAAGTTAATCAAGTTTATGCTTTATCCAATACTCTGAACCAAAAATTCCTATTTTTTATTATGAAAGGTATGAACTTTAATGAACGAATTTGATTGTGAATAGATTAAAATTGACTCATTGTTTCATTTAATAAAAGAGTCTCAACAATTACTAACTCGAGCTGTGAAGTTCGTGAACTTTTTTTTTTTTTAGTTAAAGTAGTTCGTGAACTTACTAATTAGGATTTGCAACAAAATTTTATCGATCCCCAACTCAAACTTATTAATTTGCTTGACATTAAGTTTTGAAAAAATATTTTACTTCAGAAAAGATTTTACTTGATTTTGGATTTATCAAAAAAAAAATTTGAATTTTTTATTTTTTTATTTTTATCTTCAAACAAGGAGCCTAGATTAAAAATAAACCCAAGATATCAAATTATAGCTTTGGCTAATATTCAATGTTAGTTAATGAGAGTATGGGAAAAGAAAGAAAATTGAAAACATGCTGCAAATATTTTGTTTTGCTATTTTTAGAAACTCTAAAAGCAAAAACAAATGAAAACTAATGATTGAACCTGTTTTTGTTAAAAAAAAATCCTATTTTCTTAACTCCTTTGGAAGTGAAAGTGAAGTAAAACAATAGAGCTCTTTTGCGGTAGACTGCATAGCAATCTTTGAATAAAAAGAGAGAAGAGGTAATGGTTAGAGAGTTAGGTGTTAGTAGGAATTAAGGGGAAAGGGATTCAAACCTAGCAGTATAGGATGGTGGAATTAGAGGTCTGCATCTTTATCATTTGGGCAACACCATTACACGGTCACATCTCTGCCACTATGCATTAACCGACTCAAATTTTATTTTGTACGCATTTTTATTTTTGACTATCCCAAAATAATTGTCCAATTCATGAAGTTATAAAAGCAATGACGGATCTACCGTAGAAGGGATATATTTAAAAATTCATTGCTTACTATCATAATAATAATATAAAAAAAAATGAAAAAGTAAGGACTTTTTGTGGGAAGGAAAGAGTATAAACAATACAAACCAAAATTAATGGGTAAAGTATAACTGGGTTGGTGTCCCCAATAAATTAATGGGTTGAGCAAGTCTTCACCAGCGGACCATGCCTAAATTGCAATTTGGCACAACTGGGCCCTAGAATGGGCCACATCTGGGCCAAACAACATGGACATGGGGTTATAGATTATACCTAAGAAGCCCATCTAAGGTGATCAACCGACTTAACGGCCAGAAACAAATGGCTTAACTTCATTGGGCCCAAATTTAACGCGTTGTTAACTGTTACTATCGTCATTGACTGTTTTACTTTTCCTCACACGGCACTCTTCTTCTCTCTCATCTGCAAAAACGTTACTGTTTCTAGGGTTTTTCTTATCGGCAACAAGAAAAGCATTGTCCCCATTTCAAGACCTCTGAAAAAGGCGAAAACCCACTACGCATTTCTTCAGATTCTCTTATCTATTCTCTGTAAATACATACCATACAAGTGTATATATACACCTATACACATAATATACATATACGAGTTGTGAATTCTTTTTGATTTCTTTGAAGTAGAGATTTTGTAGATCCCAACATGATGTTTCTCAGGGTTTTCCTTATCTTGTCTCTGTTTTCGATCGGTTTTTCTCACGAAAATTCGAACTCTCACCTGCTTCCGAGACCTTTGATCCTCGAATACACTGAAAACGTAGAAACCCAATTCAGAGAATCGGAAGAAGAAATTCGGTTGCACTGTACCAGTTGGAGATTCGCTGTTGAGACGAATAATTTGAGCCCGTGGAAGACAATCCCACAGGAATGTGCTGATTATGTGAAGGACTATGTGACGAGTCGTGCTTATAGAATTGACCTGGAAAGGGTCTCCAAAGAGGCCGGAGATTACGCGAAGAGCTTGGAATTGAGTGGAGATGGGAAAGATGTATGGATATTTGATATTGATGAGACTCTGCTTTCGAATCTTCCGTATTATGCAGATCATGGTTTTGGGTAAGATTTTCTTTAAATTACGCTTAAATTTGATGAAGGAAATTGGACCTCTAGTTTTTCGGTCAATTCCATGCAATTCGGCTAATGAGTTTTCATGGAATTCAATTCTGGATTTTGGAATTGCTTGTTGTGAGAAATTGATTTGCTTCTCATATGGATTGTTGGTGTGAAATTGTAGGCTGGAGGTTTTTGATAGTGTGGAGTTCGATAAATGGGTTGAGAAGGGTGTGGCACCAGCTATCGGGTCGAGTTTGAAGCTTTATGAAGAGGTTTTGAAGCTGGGATTTAAAGTTTTCTTGCTGACTGGGCGCAGTGAGAGGCATAGAAGTGTGACTGTTGAGAATTTGATAAATGCAGGATTTCGGGATTGGGACAAGCTTATATTGAGGTGAGTGTGTATATATATATATATATATATAGGCTAATTTAGTGCAGATAGGGTTTTAATTTTGTGGCATCTATTTGTCTAATATATGTCTTTTGTTTTGCTTTTTGGAAAATTGACATTTTTCTGTTATTAGCTTTGGCCATAGTTCAAGCTTTGGTCGTGGGTTTAAAAAATTATATATTTTTAGGTGAATTGAAGATCTGTCAAGTATCAGCGATTTCAGTTGAATTTATATATTGAAAACATGAAGACCCAATATAGATATATTTTTATAAATGAGGATGTGTAATGCAACCCCTAAAATTCTCTATGTAATTACTTGCTCTACATCTTATTTGGTTAAACTTTATTCAACTATATATTTCCAAGAATTACTGATAATTAAGACCTATTACTGTTATTATAATCGACAAGGATTTGAGTATGCATTAGAGGCAAAGCGATGGACAATTGTGGAAGTGCATGTCCAGAGAACCTTAAAGTTAGTTATCAAAAAAGAAACTTAGAAAGATTTAGGAGCATGCCAAATCCCAGGGTCACATGGGTTTGAGTGCACACCAGGGGCAGGTGTGTTCCTGTGTTATAGGGTTGCAAATAGTCCAATCTCCAAACCTTGAGATACGGTGTCACAATGATACTTTTGCTTCACCTCTAAATTAGGATTAAACGTGGTTTCTACATCAATAATGCTTGTTTGATGTTTGCTTTTGTATTATATTGAAATATAATAGAGGATCATGTTGAGAAGTTATTATTTATTTATTTATTTTTGCACAGAAGTTATTTAGGTAACTCTCATCTGACTAGCAATCTGTGCTTCGTTTCCAAATACATGTCATGCTAATCATAGTTATCCCACAAAACGTAATTCTAAAATAATAAATAAAAAAACTGAAGGCATATGATCAACCCGTTTAAATGGAAAATGGAGGTTTATGTTAGGATTTTATTGGGAACACTTCTTTGGTTTCTCTAAGCTGCCAGATCGGTATCTCTCATTTTGACTGTCATTTAAAAACTTAATTAGGCCTTGGGAATTGGGTACAAGAAAAATATTCATTGCTGTGGAAGCTAATTTGGCTTTATATTTCATAATTTTCATTCGTTAATGATAATCCTTAAAGAGGAGCTCAACTTTTTTGAATTTTGCAATGGAACTCATATGCATGTTAGTTTGGTCTAGTTTGTTCCTTTCTGCAAGGTATACATGGTAGATCAAGGATCTTTATTATTATTTTATTTTATTTTATTTTATATTTTATTTTTATTTTTACTTTATGTATTCGCATTCATAGCTCCTGAAACTGATTCTCCATCTCCAGCACCCTTATCCATGACACCGTATAAGTCTCTATCCTTACTTTCCTCTCTATCAGCTAGTTTATATATGCTTTCCAATATTTTTTTTCCCCGGTAAATATATATGCTTTCCAATATTAATTTTCTTTCAATGAAAAATAAAGACTGTCATGCACTTGAATTTCATTCATTCCTCTCTGGGTTTTGCTTCCACACCTGGATTAACTCTCTCTACTACCTAGCAAAGGTTTCAGTTCAGAAAGGAAGCTTTATACTTTCACTGGTCTGTTGAATTGATGAGTTTCATGAATAAGTGGTTATTTGAATTGGCTTGATCATGATTTTTTCAAGTACAAAAGAGTGTTATTTATGAAAAGGTTTGTACCCTTTGGCGTGTACCTGTGAAAGAGAATATTTATATCATCTGAGAGATTGTTTTCCTTTCAGTTCTTTTTGAAAAGGCACTTTCTTTTTACAAGTTGCTTCTCATGAAGAGACATTTTACCCTTTAATATGCTTTAGAGATATAAATTATCCTTCTCTGGTTATTTTGTGCATGATAATTGCTGGACGTATCCCAGTATATCCTAAAAACCAATACTAGCATGTTTTCCTTTTCAAAATTGAATGCCAGATGATGATCTAAAGTAGATTAGATCTAATCTGTTTATTCTTTGATTAAAATTGGTATAATGATCAATTTGAATCTGATATATATACGGCCTTACCTAGTAGGTCCTAACATTAATATTTCTAAGAACATTTGATAAAAGGATCTTGTAACACAGTACTGGCATCATCTTCTTAAGATGGTTAGCCAATGAGCATCATATCAGGAAATTTACAGCTCAAAATATCATCTGACTAGTTGCATTGTCTTTGCAAAGTATTATTCCTGTTTTATTGGATGCCATAAGGTATCTGTTTCCATTTTCTTGAATGAGTGCCTACTTTTCCCCTTAAATAAATGCAATTGTCACCATTTTCAATTAGTTTTCCATGTGAGCTTGTCACATGTTTTCTGTCCTCTGAGGGCCCAGATTAATGATAGACTGATAGTGTCTACAACATTCAACCCTCGAAATTTGAATGATTGAGCTAAACGCAAAATTTTATGGACTCTTTGGCCTTTCAACTCAAGATATTTTTATGCTTTATATTCTACTAATAGAGATAATTAACTGAAGACTTGTTGCATTTTTGCTGGTGTAAGAGCCTATAACTGAATTTTGAGCCTCTCAAACTGTGCAGAGCCTTGGAGGACCATGTGAAATCAGCAACGAATTTCAAGTCAGAGAAGAGAAGTGAGATGGTAGAAGAGGGACATCGGATTCTGGGGAACTCTGGAGACCAGTGGAGCGATCTATTAGGATACTCAATGTCCAGGCGCTCATTCAAGCTTCCAAATCCCATGTATTACATTCCCTAATTGAACAGACTTTGACATTTCCAATTAAACAAATAAATGTGCTGGCAAAATTGACAGGCCAGTGATTCTTGTCGGTGTTTGTATTCAGACTAAAGATTTCTATACTGAAATAATTGATTATACCGTATTTCCATTTTAAGTTTACAATGTATTATTATGCCTCTCTCTCTCTCACACACACACACACACACACACAGAAACAGTGGCCTCACCAAATACTCGATTTATATAGTGACTAGGTATCTTAGATATCCCAATGGTTTTGAGTTTGAAGAAAATTATGTTCATTATGTTCCTCTCTTTCTCAAATAGATACACTGTGGGTGAATTCATTAACCTCATTGTCTCCTCCAGTGGAGTTGCTGAGATAACATTCTCCTTCTGTATTCTGACCCTATCAGGGAGATCAATATGACAATCAGCCTATATATAAACAAGGCTACAAGTTGAGACATTGGCAGGTGCCGCTCTCACGCATTCGCTCCCACTATTCTTGACTTAATTTTGTCGCTTTCGCACTCTGAATTTGCTCCCACTCCCACTTTATGTGACTTGGGTCACGGTCACACGGGTGGCCATAGTCAGGTACCTGGTTACACTTGACCGCTTAACAAAACACTTCTAGGACTTCGATTTCACTGGTCATCCATGGCCAAACTCATTGTCAAATCATAGGCTAAACCAACCAACATCCTTTTTATGGCCTAAAATGTTAAATAGTTGGACCAATCTCCCTTATTTCACCACAATTATATACCATACATAGTACATTACTTGACAGGGGTTCGTATTAATTTCTCTTCTGAAAAGAATAATTTCACCTTGAAATAGTTCAGTCAACACTACCGTATGAAAGTCCCAGCAAACAAGGATCAAATATTTTCCACAAGCACCATTGATATTACCATTGAGCTTGCGTTCTGGCGTATTCTTTTGCTATAAAAGATCCATGTCTTTGTATTCAAGTATATGTTTCCGTTCACTTACATTTTGAACTTCATATATTTGAGGCAACAACAACATTACATACAATGACCTATTTCGAAAAATCGAACATTTCATCTAACGTATTAAATACAACAACCACCAAGCCTTTTTTGAACTACTTGGAGTTGGCTAATCTAACGAGTAAAATTAAGATAGTAATTAAAGCTGTTCTCAAAGAAACACCCACCTAAACAATAGAAAATGGTATCACTGTCTTCCAGATTTCCACTCCATAATTGCAGAAAGAAGTGTATAATTTGGTATTAAGCTCTTATTTGGCAACATCAAATTTGTCATTGGTGATTTATCATTATCCTCAAGCCATTTCTCTATCGCCTTGCGATCGTAAGTGTACCCATCAGCAGCAACACAAGGGTCATCCATTACATCCTGCAGCAGAAACAAACTTTTCATTATCAAATAAAAACATGAATTCAGGAAAAAAAATATATAAAAGAGGCTTAATCTAGAGTTGAATCAAGTTCAAGGAAAAAACTATAAAAGATCACTAATATCAATCTTCTGAAATAAGTTACATAACAAATTCCACAAAAGCTTGTGGGAAAAGAAAATTGTTTAATGCTCAAAGTTAACTACATTCCTTATGCACCAATTTAAAACTTTGTATTCAATAATTTAGCAAACTTAGTCTACTGATAAACGGAGAAGTAGAGAATCATTCAGCAGCAGAATCTACTTTTCCATTTATAAATCCGTGGATTCAGTTTTGAAAATATTGGCATTAAAATGTAGTACAGGCATACCTTAAGTATGGGGCATATGAAGTGGTTAGGAGGTGCTGGTTGAGCACAGGATGCCATATCTCGAGCCCTGTCAGCAACCTCATTCAATCTCTCCAGTGCAGGAAGCACTTTATCTTTCAAATCGGGCCTATCTCTGCGACGAAGCTCTGCACAGCTCAGACCTAATTTGGCCAATTCCTTTGTCTCTTCAATTGGCCATTTCCCAGCATCTGGATCGAGTATATCTGCAAAATGACCGTCACAAATTGCTGTTTCCACCACATGGGTTATCGCTATGGCCGGTTTTGCAGTCAGCAACTGCAAAATTACCATCCCCAAAGCATAAACATCAGACTTTGGAGAGACTAATCCAGACCTTTGATACTCGGGGTCAATATAGCAAAGGGTGCCCACAGGGCCAGTGTCCTTGTACATGGTGGATGCAGAATACTCTGTGTTGATCATTGTTGCAAGGCCAACATCACCAATCTTGCTCACCAAGTTATGATCAAGCAATATGTTTGCTGGTTTCAGATCACGATGGATAATAGGTTTTGGCCTTGTGTTGTGCAGGAAGACAAGTGCTGAGGCTACTTCCCAGGCGATTCGATACCTCTCAAACCATGGGATTGGAAGTGTATTATTTTTCCGGAGCAACCTGTCCTCCAGGCTGCCATTCTCCATGTACTCGTAAGCTAGGCAACCATGATCAGGACAAGCTCCAAGAAGAATTAGCAAATGGGGATGACGAATTCTGCTCAAGATTTCAAGCTGAAAAACAGAGAACAACCAGCATAAGAATCATAAAATTTTGAGTTGGGGCACCTTATGTTCCCCATTTTCGAGTTTTTTTTTTCAACTCAATGTAAAAGTACAAGAAAAGGAATAAAGAGATGCATGCATTTCAACTAAAAGGCAAAGTGGATAAAATATATACAACACCATCTTCTCTTGGTAATGTGCAGGGTGTACACAAGAAACACATAAAACTTGGAAAATGGAGAAATGAGACTCGTAGTAGTCCCAAAAAATGCTCAAGGAATACACATATTTCACATATTAATCTTAAACACACTACTTTGGTAATCCTAACTTTATACCAGAAATTTACCATGGAAAATAGAGAAACTAGAAGCCTTGCAACATCGACGGGAGACAAGAATCCTCAATGTCACAAGTAAGAACTCCTCAAACACATGTATATTGATGAGTGCTTACATCGTAAAACATTCAATGATCTCAAGTCTATTGATTCGTAAATTGTCATACCTCCTGTTGAAATTGCTTGTTCCTGTGAGCCTCTTTAGAATGGAGGACTTTCACTGCCGCAGTTGTATGATGCAAACTGCACTTATAGACAGTTCCATATGCTCCCATTCCAATTCTAAGATTGTCAGAGAATGATGAGGTAGCAGATATGATTTCTTCCCATGTGAACTTCTGGTACTGCTGCACAGGACCCACCAGAACATTCTCGAGCTTTTCTTTCTCTTTGGCTTCACGTAAGGCTTTAATCTCAGCTTCTTTCCTTTCTGCAGTTTCTCTTTCAACACGTTCCTTCAAAGACCCAGCTTCTTTTTTTGCAGCTTCGTGTTTTTGCTTTTCTTGTATTGCTAATTCTTTGGCTTCCTCCTCCTTAAAGCTTATCTCCTTGAGCTTCATTGCTTCCTCCAACCGGCGCTTGTGAATATCATTTAGCTGACAGAAAGCAAGAAAATGAGCATGCTTCTTAAAAAAACAAGACATGCAGTGTAGTAGTCAATTCTCTGGACACTCAGAAACAAAGGCATGAATATTGTTCTGTTGCCGACAAGTACAAAATTTTCTGTTAATGAGCCACAACTTACATAGATTCTGACTTTGTCTGCGCATAAAAATTTAACATACAAATTTGGTAATCACAAATCATCTCAAATTGTTGGCAAGAATTTCAGTATAACTCCAAAACATGAACACAAAATCAATACATTTCAATAGAGAAACCAGAAAGTCGTTTAGGTAGAAGAAAAAAGAAATTCTGTTATCAAGTATCATTCAGATATATTTGAGATTCATATTTTATTCACAAAAAAATATTATCAAATTTTAAAAATGACTGAAATATGCGCCATAAATTTAAATTACAATTGCTTGATAATTTGAGAATCTTCCTAATAAAGGGGAAAAAAAATGAAATCCAGGCACATTTATATCAACCAAGAAGTGCAAATACTTTTCATCTCATTTATTTAGTGTGAAAGACAATTTACCTTCCTAGAAGCATCAATTGACTCGCACTGAGCTATTGCATACATTCCTCGAACATGTCTCAGTTCAATTCTGAGTTTTTCCAGCTCAAAGTTCATATTGGCCTGCACATGAGAGCAAAAACCTTTATTTAACTTTTACGATAACTCCACATGTCGTTCTGATTGCGATGTATTTAACTTTTTGAAAATATAAGACATGCATTCATATTATAGGTACAGTAAGTAACTGTTGTGATCAAGTTAAACAACTTAAATAGAATTTCACAATATACTCTGAATCTCAAGAACTAAATTGATATGGAAAATATTTTTCACAGAAATACTCCAACCTTTTTCTGTTCTCAAGGACGAGGTGAATTTAACATATTCAGGCATCAGTTGCACCAAAAATGTGTTTTTCTGTGATTCTGGCTTAATTTAAACAAAACTTTTACGTCAATGTTTAGGCTGCTAATGCAACAGCTTTTACTCTTACAACTAGATGTAAGCCCTTCAGATCATGTCAATTATGCAGGAAACTTAGATTTCAAGCATAAGCCCAGATTCTTACACAGCTGAACTTTACAAAATTTCTGAACTACGCTTCTACTAATCAAAGAAATTTTCCCAAGCTCGTATTATGATGAAGGAATGCAGAATTTTTTAACAAACAATAAATATCTGCGGAAATAAAATTAGGATACCCAGGTTGACCATCAGCAGTAAAGTATTATTGGAGTAGAATTGACATTGCAGCCTTTTTATCTTAACAATGCCAAACATGCCTTCCTGTATAATTACTGACAAATGACAAGATTAACCAGATTAAATTAAATACAACTAAAATTACCTGGCTTTCAGATGAAAAATGTGTAGGAGCTCCTGAGGTTGAAGCTTGATCAGATATCCATGACTGGTTGTCTGTTGGCACGCTTCTAAAACTAGACATCTGACTATTTGCGTAACCAACATCTGAGATACTCACAACATCTTCCCCTTCCCTAAAATCTAGAGACGGAATTCTAGAATGGTTGGTCTCAGCTGAATTTGTCCTTTTATGAAGAAGGGTCTGGTTTATAGTTGAAAGAGCTTGGAATCGTTGCATTGGTAGTGAAGGAGAACGAAAATGAGAGTAGGAAGCAGCCGAGCTTGGGTCTGTCCATTCTGAAAAAGAAAAGAACAATTTACTATGCATCTTCAGGATATATTTATCAGCCTGAAAAATATGCGATTTACAATAAACCATCTCTAAGTTGTCAAATTTAGTTTACATTTTCTATTTGGTGTAATGGGAAGTACTATCACAAAAATATGTAGCATGAACACAGACATTTTGTAGAACCTACAAACCACTTGATTAGTCAAGGACCATGACAGAAATTCATGATTAGTCAAGGACCATGACAGAAATTCATTCATTCTTTTTCCTTTTCTTTTTTCCCGTGCAAACCACAATCCTCTGCTAATTAAGTCTTACCTGTTCATCAGAAAGCAAAAATAAAGATAAAGAAGTACAGATACCTGTTTGTGTGCTGGAAGTGTGACTTGATGAATTGTTCGAAGAGGAACTTGTGTCACTACAGTCATCTTTAATGCTTCTATTTGTCTCTGAATCAGATGGGCGCATGGATGACATTTTCCCCTTTGAAACAGCATAGACAGTACAAAAGCTTGGAGTGCTTTCTGATATTTTTGAGGACAAACTTTGCCCCCTAAGTTTCCAAGAAACATTTTAATGTTAACAAGAGATGTACTGATGCTAATAGAAAATTGAGGGAAAGGCAACCTACAAGAAGTATAAATGGATGATATTTTAATTTTAATTTTTTAGAAATTAAAAGCTCGAACTTTGATGCGCTAGTGTCGTATTCTTGCGTCATTGGTCTAAAATCCGGTAAAACAAGGGTTTATGTTAGGTAGCTGATATTTATTATAAAACCTTTATCAGACCTTTTAACAATATTTGAGTAAATAGTAGGCATTGATGTGTTGTGATAAACTTCTGGGCATTACAAAATATAGGCAATGGCATTCAGATGCAGGCTTTATTGAATTGGTTGTACATTTTCTTTTGTCTTTTTCAATTAATTTTTTTTTCTTTTTTTCCCATTTTTTGTGGTTAGTTGGTTGAACAGTATCACAAACACTCCCAGAAGAGGCAGCCTACAGGGTTGAATTCCCCATCTGATTTGCATGTCTTTATAAAGGTCTTAACACCTTCACAAGACAAGATGACATGTACTGGTAATTGAAGTGTTTCGATCTCATAATTGCAACTATGCAAGCCCTATGCTTATGTCATTCCCAAAAGAGGCATGTCCCATGGATGTAAATATCCTCATCCATCAGTATCGTGCGTATTCTATGATTGCTTACTTCTCACTGGTCCATGGTTAAGAGCTTTAACAAAGTAAAATAGCCAATGGCATGATCAGGAAGGAACATCAAAGAACATAGGCTAGGGCCTAGTCAAGGATTGTTACTTGACTTGTATCGCCCTCATTATGTTGGCAAACTAGGAAAGTTCCATTCATCCCTAATACTAGGCAAGATTAATTTATATAACAATAGAATTTAAGATCCTTGGGAATTTAACAAAAGAACCAGAAAACTCATTGCATTATTAACCAGAATAACATTGAAAGCTATTACCTTGAAAAGATGCTACGCGATGAGGCTCCTATAACAAGTTTGTTGATAGAGCATTTAGCTACCTCCCCTGCTATTGCATTTACCACATCGTCTGATTCGATTTGTAAAATTTCTACTGGAACCTGCATTTGAAATCAATCAAGTAAGCCTCTAAACATACCAATTCAGGTTTCACTTGAGAATCACAAGGACAACATATTCTAACCTTTCTTTGAACACACATATTCTTGTATGGAAGAAGCTTTTCACTTGTTTGCCATTCTATTTCCTTTCTGTAAGCAGCTGCTACATCATCTCGCACTTGTGAAAGAAGAATCGAGTTTCCCACTAGAAAAGAAACTACAATGTCAAATTTCTAGAGAAGATAAAATGTTCAAGTTTAGTTGTAAAGAATGTGTTTGGAAGATTGTCTGCTTATATTTTAGCTGTATAATTATAGCTATAACAAAAGGACCCGTGAAAAAAATAAAAAATAAAAAAAATAATAAAAACCTGTTACGTAAAGATTTTATTGCTAATGAGATTTATGCATACTTAAAATGATGCAAAAGGAAAGGGAGTTGTTTTGTGTGTACCAACTAGACTTTGAAACATAGCACAAAAATAAAAAAATAATACTGTAATAATAATAATAATCACGATTTTGGGGAATTGATTTTGTGCACAAGTTAGTTTTTTGGAGTGTGAAGGAAAAACTTTGGTGAGCAAGAAAAGCACTACCAAATTGCAAAAAAAATTGAAACATTTCTCCGATCTTTCTTGTTATACTTATGAATTCTCCAATCTTTGAAACATTTCTCAAACTTTTATCAGAATTCGCCTAATCAAAATTCCAAAGAGGTAGAACTTACTCGGTGTTGGAACTGAAGTTATCGCAGGGCGGACATGTAACAGCTTGAACATAACCTTGTCCTCAGGGACAAATTTCTCCAATGCCCACTTAACCACATATTTACTTTTTTTATCTCCATTGATTGCTATTACCACGCTTACTTCACTTATCTCAGTTTCCTCCATTAGTCTGTTAATTCTTGAAACATGAAGAAAATCATATGAGAATAGTTAGTACGTGCAGTGAAATTAAAAAAAAAAAAGGATATCAATTAAAGCTGAAGACATTAGCTGTTGATAAATCATTTAAAAGGACCTTAAAAATTGTCATTTCTTTCTAAAAATTCCAAACTAAGATACTTTAACCCTGTAAAGTTCAATTTTTTTATTATTATTTTTATTTCTGTTTTTATAAACAGATAATAGGAGTAACAAACATAACCATCTATCCCAAGCTAGAGAATCAAATCAGACCTTTTTTTAGGATTGGAAAGAGAGATTTTAGGATTGGAGAGAGAGAGAAGCATTATTCTGTAACTAAAATTCTAAATTCAATAACTCAAAAGAACTTCAATAACACTGAAAAGCATTCTTCAAATTGTTCCAAGAGCAAAACGGAAAAAGAAATAAAAAGAAGATAGAGAACCTCTGCCCATAAATATATATATATATATATATAGAGAGAGAGAGAGAGAGAGAGAGAGAGAGAGAGAGAGAAGGGCTGTTTCCCAATTCACACACCTCAGATAAAAAGACCAAAGAACAATAAGAATTTCAGAAAGAAAACCACACACACATACACACACAATTTCTTAATAACCCAACTTGGAATTCTACAAACCTTTTATAAAAAGCCACTTGAATATAGAAGAGCAAAAAATAAGAACAACCAGAGAGAGATGCACACAGAAATTTCAAACGAAGACCATACCAGCAGCTTATTACACCTTCAAATTCTGAGATCTCTGAAATCCATCTGAAGTTGCAAAAGCCGGTTAAAACCCATCCTATTCTCTCCCTAAAAAACACAAACGTTGAAGAAATTCAAACAACATGACACACACACACACATATATATACTCATATATAATACTAGTGTGTAAGCAGAGCTTTGTACAGTTTAGCAGAATCCGCTGACGTGAACTTGAAAAGAACCTTCCGACCCTTTACGCGTACAAATCCAGAGGCAACGGTGCCGTAATGCATTACCCATTTCCAATAATGACATCTATTTACATTTTCCACTTAGTCTATGTATGAAATTATTCTTAAAAGATGCGATTATAATAAAAGGTTTTGTTTGTTTTGACTCTCTTGTACTTTTGTATGCTAATATTTCATGTTCCTGCTAATGCTTCGTTAATTCGTTATGTTCTTTACCCAGACGCCAATGATTACTTTAATTCAACGTAAATGAATTTAATATCATGAATAATAATAGTATTACTCAGTTATTATTATTATTATTATAATTTGGATGGTACATGCTCAATTTCGTGAAAATCACTGCCCAGTTGGGTTTAGGTTTCTAATTTTTTATTTTATTTTTCTCTATAGCATATAGATTGAGAACCTATGCGGTGATTTACATGTAATGACTCATTCCATCACATGATATGATATTTTCATGTGAACCACCACATAGTTTCTCAATTACTATAAACTATAAAGAAAAATAAAATAAAAAATTAGAAACCTACACCCAACTGGGTGTGATTTCCACGAAATTGAGTATGTACCATCCAAATTATAATAATCATTGGTGGAGTGAGTCGTTACAAATGTTATCAGAGTCTGACCAGTCAAAAATGTGCCGACGGGAATGTCAGGCCTTCCAAGTGGGGTGGATTGTGCCGACCTTGTGGGCGGGTGCGAGAGACACTGACAGGCTATCATACTGGCGAGGTACGAGTGCACAGTCCCACATTGCCTGGAAAAGAAAAAGCTGAAGTGCTTATATATAGGTGTATCACTCCAATTGGTAAGAGACTTTTTAGGGTGAAACCCAATAACAAAACCATCGTACCATTGGCACTACATCACACTTCACATCAGGAAAAAATAATAATTAAGGATTGTTTGGACAGCATTTAATTTTGCTCTTATCATCCCTAGTGTATTGGTACTTATTATTATTATTTTTTTTCCTAAATACTTATTTGTCTTTCAAACTAAAACTTGGACTATATTGAAACTTCGATGATTCAAACCTTTATAGGAATATATTGGAGAAAGTGTGAGGGTTTCTTTTCGAGATAAAAAAAAATAATAATAATAATTAATATTACACAAGTCCATCTCCAAATCACGTGTTAACGAATTATTAGTTCGCTCGAGAAGAGTAAAAGGAATTATGAAATTTCTCAATCTTATCCAATACACGGTTGAATTTGAAAGGAAAAACAAGAGTCTAAAACCTCTATTATTGCCCATAGTTTTAGCACTTTCTATCTTGCATGAAACACATGCCCAGAAATAGAATGGAATGAAAACCTAACTTTACTTACTCCAAAAATAAAAAATAAAAAGGAGTGAAAACTGATAACAAAAACGACAGAAGCACAATTTTATAGTTTTGGTGGATGAGTCAGCCTCTGGGGAGGATGTGAACATGTTGACATTTGGTGGCTCTCATCTTTAAATGTATGTAGTGATACCTAATATTTTCTGTATTTCATGAGAAGATTTGGGAGACAAGGTCAAAGTCTTTCCTTAGCTCAGAGGATGTTGAATCATGGGATTAAAAATATCACACACACACACACACACACACACTTGATATGATTATCTAATTACAGTAATACCTTGTGGGACCATAACTTCTGTTGAATCATGGGATGAAAAATCTCACACACACATACACAAACTTGATACTATGATTATCTAATTAATACCGTGTGGGACCATAACTTCTGTTGTACCAAATTTGCAATGAATGAGTCCTTTCACTTCTAAAGCCCATAAATTATACAGTTGGGCAATTTTATTGTATTTGTATTTGGGGATTATTGTTTTTGGTAATGAATGACCAAACACCTACCTTGCTTATATTCACTAATTATTATTCTATATATATATATATATATATATACATATGCTTTTTACTAGTCAACCTATTCCAGTGTCATTGGTCACAACTACCAACAGGACCACCTTACCTTGGGGCATATTTAGAAAAGACCAACAAAATTTTGGTCGTAATAGCCACTAGTATTGCCTAGTTTGAATCAACTACAGTTGTAAGATTGAAAATAAACAACATTTGGTAGAATAACCAGTTCTAGAATTGTCATGGTCAGTGATCCAGTTCTAGAACTGAAATTGTGGATCATTGTTTATTCAATTTTAAAATAAATTTTATAGAATTTCTTGCTTTTAAGATTACCTGTTGAAGTAGTCTTTATATATATGTTGAATTATCATAACTTTGCAGTCAATGGATTTGGAGCTCTTTTGGAATTGTTATTAAAATAATGAAAGTGATTTTAAAAGAGTTGTTACAAAACTGTTGGCAATAAAAATCATGTTATGTGTTTGGCAATGCATTTTATAAAATATTTTTATCCTTAAAGCACGTATAAATTTATTTGGTAACAATGTTTTTTAAAGCACTTTTATTTTTAATTTATTATATTAGACATACACTAATAACGATATTGTATGATATTAATGTGAGTAATTCATTCACATGCCATGATTATTGGTTAACATTGTATGATCACAAATTATAAAACTAATTTAAATACATGGTACAACTTAAAAATAGTTTAAAATTTTCACTCTATGCATGATATAGTGCCTATGCGGCTTATCAGATATAATGCGAACAATGACAGTGATCCAGATCAGTAAGGAATAAAATTATATTTATAAAAAGAAGTGAGTGATTATATATGTATATTTTTTAAAAATAATTACCTAACTCTACCTCGAACGCAATTCCAAAAGGTACAATTACTAGCTATACGTAAACATATTTTTTTTTAGGAAATATCTACAATGCGTTTTCTTTTGTCACCAAACACCTCTAACCGCAATTTTTTAAAATCATCGTGCTTTTTAACTGCAGAGAAGCAATCCCAAACAGACACTTAATATTTGTCAATATTTCACCATGGATTCAGCTTTCGGTTCTTTTTCATTACCAACGCCTGCGATGGTATTTACTTTTATTTCAAAGTGAAAGATAGAGGGTTCAAATCTTTCCGAATGCGTTTTGATAGTTATTTGTCAGATTAAAAAAAAAAAAAAAAATGACAAAAATATCAAGATCTGTCACTTATGCTTTAGGGTTTTGGAAGCAAGAGTCGCAGCAATGTTGATTCCCTAATGGTATGTGCACCATATCTCTAGAACATATTGTGTACTGCAAGAGATTTTGATTCTTGAACGTCAGCACTCAAACATCAGCGTAATAAAACTAGTTGAAATATTAGGTGCATAGAGTGTCGTGTTGGTGGAATATGGTCATCGAAATTAAATATACCATTTCATGGTAGGGCCCGTAGGGGACCATTTGTTTTTATGTAGTAAATTGTTTACAATCAATAGACATCCATTGTACTTGGGCCTTTCGTGGCCTCGACCCCATTGCTAGGGGGTCATCAGAGTCGGCCAACCTGTTACCAGCCAGAGCGGTCACATTGAATGCCACAAAACAAATGACTAACAACAAAATTGAAATTTATTTCCAGTAACAAAATTGAAATTTACAACATAATTACAAAGTATAAATAACCTAACACAAATCCCTCTACTCTCCTAAAAAAATTCTATAGAACCCAACTCTTCACATAGGCACCATATATCATGTCATAGGCACCATATAGCGCTCAGGTGTCACTTACGTGGCATAACCTCTCTCCAGGCTATAACATGTCAAAGAATTGCACTCTCTTTAGCTTCCTTCTGATAGAGAAATAGAACATTGGAATTATACAAATGAACTCAATATAGTTGTCTTTAGATTCATCATTTATATACACAGCCAAGTGCAAGTGGATGGATTTCTTTACAAAAATGTCTCATACAATGGATGCTAAAGATCATATGTATTCCTGATGCAACTTAAGCAAGAGCTTCCTTTCCGGGAAAAGGACAACATAACCAATATTTTTTCAGATAAAAGTTTCAATCCCACAACTACCCTAATTTAAAATTTTACAAACACAATTGTGATCACTCCCAAAACTGGCGAAGAACATAGCATTAAACTACTGGGTGGTGAACTCCATCTTGAGAACTTATCGGTTGCTTTATTTACTTCAGTGTATCCCATGCGGTATTTTCAGGAAACGAACTGTCAGTGTCATCTCCAGACAGTTTCGTTTGCATCAGTAAAAATTGAGTTGTGATGTTCTATTAAGCACTGAACAACCTCAATGGCACCAAAGTCAACTGGCAAGCCGTCATCCAAGGGAATGGGGGAGGATGCATCTATGGCTTCGCTCTCCTCTGAAGACACATAAACAGAAGATGAAAGAACACAGAAAAGCAAGAATTAGCTAATTTCAAATGATGTTTTCAATTGAGCGCACCAAATTAACATAGTTAAAAAATATATTTCTAAGCATTTTTTTAATAGATATTCAGAACACTAATACTTTACCAGTAATAGGAGAGATAAGAAGCAAGTGATTAACAATAAATCCTAACTATAATAATTTTGTTCACAAAGTGAACCTTTTTTAGTTATATTTTTCATAATTACATGGGTAATATATATATTTATATAAACATTTTTAGCTGTGTCGTTATCAACAAAAAAGTAATCATCTTATTTGATTTCTTAAATCAAATAGTTCAAAGCTAGAAAGGAGAAAGGGAAATATCTCAAATACTGTTTGAAGTCCACATAGACTAATGACAAGTTGTATCAACTAAATCCAGAAAACAACAAAATTTCCCATTATGCCGTGTCTCACTTGTATCCAAGACTAACATTAACTTATAAAAATTCAACTTTATTTTGAGCATCCAAGCCAAGCAGACCTCAACTAAAACAGAATGTCAATATGACCCGGATTGCCATGTTGCATCCCATCCTCAATGAGACAAACTGGGGGGAGAAACAGGTTGCAGAAGGGGTCCCCCAACACTACCCACCTAATCACGACTATATAAATGAATTTAGAATAATATCCTTAAGCTTAATAACTAAACTATATATTTATATAAACAATACCACTAACCTTTATAAACCCCTTGCTAATATACATAACCTTTTTATATCTTCTATACATACACTTCAAATTGTCCCAAAAAAAAGCATCCTGTACCAAAAAACTTGGCGGGAGGGGGATGAAGTATCCAAATCGGTGGTGAGAATGGAGGTTCCCCAAATGGAGAAAGTTGGGCAGGGGGCACCTTCTTTAAGTGGAAAAAGAAAAGAAGCCCCATCCTTACCAGTCCGGTAGCTAACCCTAGGCCGTCATATTTTATAATAAGCCTTCGCGCATATACGACAGGATAATACCAGAAAGAAGAAACAATAACTTCTAAAAAAGAGTGTGTGATCCAGGTTATAATTTTTGAACTGCAAGAACAATGTATTAATGTTTATCTAGTCTTATGGACTGCCTCTCTCCATTTATTCAATTATATTCCCAGATTATATTTTTGCAGATGGAACATTCAACGTATAACATCCAGTAATATATAAGCATGGAATGAAATTTACTACCAAACAGAAATCCAAGAACTCAAGCAACAACTGAAACTTTTTTTAGAGGGTATATTATGTTTACCAAGGTTGTAGTTTTTTGTATGGGCTGCTGCTTTAGAGAAAAGTTTGACCATTGACAAATCAGTTGGAGGGAAAAAAAAAATTCCCAAGAATGTGCTGTACATTAAGCAGTCATGGTCGCTTTTAAACTCATTTTTGGTGATATGGATTATGCAAGGTCTTCGGCAGATTTGCTAAATTCTAGGTTGGGTAGTGGTGTTAACAAGTGCAAAAGATGTCCAAATCCTTTGTGCAAATTTTGGCATGTATAACATGGGACAGGAGAATGTTTGAGGAAATGTTATCATCAGTGATTAGGTTGAAACATGTCCTTTTGAATACTTTACCTTTGTGGGTAAGCTGGAGGCTGTCACATTCTTTGGATTCTTTCATATATTGTTAACAACATTGTTCTATTAAGTATATTCTTCAGAATCCTTGTATACTTCGTATATGCTTCAGCAGCCCTCTTGGCATCATTCAGAGGATTTTTGGCTTGTTCCCCACCCACCCCAAAAAAAAGGAGCCCCAGCAACAACATAAGACATAAAAACTTCCATGCCCCTCACATGCATACAAACGGAAACTTGTCCAAAGACAAAATTATTTGTTTGCACAGGAAGTGTATAGATCGGATTACTAACCTGCGAGCATGTCCCAAGAACTATAATTAGGTGCAGGATCCATGTTCTTCTTGGAAAACGTTTTAGATGGGTGATTCCAAAACTGTCTATAATATTCTAATCTCTGCCCCTTCTGCCACATAATGATAGGGGCCATTTCCATGGCGAGGCTTCGAGCATCCATCTGTAAGAAGATAACAACCACTGAGCATTCTTATCTAGTAAAAGCGCACTATTAAATATTTGAATATTCAACAATTATTTCAATAACACTATGTTCCCAAACAACTTCAAAATTCAGCCAATTGCAACAATATCATGCTGGAGACCAAAAATAGAACAAATAGAGATGAAGGTAAGGGAGTAGGTAAAGGATCTATCAGTTTCTCTTTTCAAAAGATTCTCAAACCTCAACCCAATGGGGAAGGCAAACAATCTAGGGACAACTAGAGCTTAATTATAAACACATCTAATAATTTCATATTTTGTGAAGCATCAAACAAACGATGGACTGTCACAAAATGTATTTCTTTAGTCAATATCACATCTTTTAAAAAATTACAAACACACAACACATGCACCAAATAATAATTTCATATTTTGTGGAGAATCAAACAAATGATGGACTGTCACAAAATGTATTTCTTTAGTCAATATCACATCTTTAAAAAACTACAAACACACAACCCTTGCACAGGACGGCAATTTTATTAATTGTCTTTAAATAATTGTAGGTTCATTGGAATCACTAAGTTAATAAATATCCTTTTTTTAAGGGAGGGGTTTCATTTCTCATTCTCACACTGAAAAACAATACTACAGACAAGCAGAGAGAGAGTGAGAGGAATGCAGCCTACTTTGTTAAGAAGTGACTTCTGGCTAACACGGAGCAGTAATGCAGTAATCAATTCTAGTGTCATGTAGTTTACTGTAGGAAGCCTCTTCAATATATTCCTCATTGCATGTATGCTGGAACGAGCGCCTCTGATTTCGTTATATAGCTCAAAGGTTGTTAATGGCTCAGGCAGGCTTGCAAGGTAACACTTGATCAAAGCCGCAATATCGACTGAGTTCACGCCCTCTGGCAACAAAGCGTTTGAATCTGTAGATTACAAAAAAAAAAAAAAAAAATAGTGAACAATCATATCGAATTGCCTTAAAGTTAAACATTAGCTTAGCCACTCAGGTACCTTGGTTGTATAATGAAACCAATTGTTGAATAACCTTTTTGTCTCCTTCAGACTTGAACAAGTCTTGCGAGCTTAACCCTAAATCATAACAAGAACAAAATTAAAATGGGCACTGAAATGAAATATTAAAGTGGAGAGCAGTGTCACATTGTTTTCTTCTCATTAAAATCACCTGATAATATGAGATAATCTGCACATTTGACCAAAATATGAGGAATGGACCTGCTGGATTGTTGTCGTTGCACAGTGACCTCTATCGGAACTCCAAATACTGACAATGGAAACAGAATGAGTAACAATTTCCAAATACAGTAAATCTAAAAATTTCAGGAAAAGCTAATGGTTTATAAAGACCAATAGGCCAGTGGCCTAGTGGTACCAGGCCCCCTACTTCCCATAGGGAGGTTAGGGGTTCGAGCTTCGGTGGAGGCATGTGTATGTAAGTACCAACTAAGGGAGAAAAAAAAAAAAAAAAAAAAAAAAAAAAAAAAGGTTTATAAAGCCATTGTTATGCTCCACAATCTACAATACAGTTTCATCACAAGAGAGAGAGAGAGAGAGAAGAGGCAGCTTCCCACATTGTACAAGTGCTGAAGTAGAATAATGTATTAAATTGAGCTTATATCTCGTGAAAAAGCTACTGTGAAGGATTTTCCCTGAGGTCGTGCCTTCACAGTAGTCTTGCTCTATATCTAATTATCTATCATTTCAGAGTCTCGCTAGCCAGTCTGTAATGAGAACAGTTGTATCATGTTCTACCCAGCAGGTGACTAAATAACAAGCATATTTTGCTGCACTTTGACCTCACTAGTAAATTCCATCACATCAAAAAAGATGGAACGAAGGCATGCTAAACCATACAGTATTATAAATATCCGATTAATTGAAAAAAAAAATTGAAAATAGAACTGCATCAACTTAACAAATTCAAGACATGCATGGAAACCTTATTATGCAACGACACAACCCAGACATAAAGCCCTTCTGTAAATCGTTCAAGTGTTCAACCATGGACCTCACGCCTTGACTGTCTGGGTGATGTATGCATATGCTAAATCTTACTATGAGTTCTCTCTCAAGTATTATTGTTTTCTTATTTTGAAGTTATTAACACTGATTTAGTAATAAAATTTAAGACTCACTTGGTTACTACATTATTCAGATTTTTTGAAGCCAACTAACATGCCTATCAACAGAAACCAGGACTAAATGAGATGGAACTAAATAGTAATTGGAAAAAAAGAAATTGATTTGCTAAGAGAAGCAATGAGTTAAAATTATTGACTTTACAGATAGATTTGAATATACCCACCTAAGCCCTCTTCGTTTCATACTTCCACTTCATTTGTCCTCAACTAATTTGCAATCTAAACAAAATTAGCAATCACGATTAACTATGGCACTGCAACTTTGTGAAGCCAAAGTAATGCTTTCTCCAATGTGGAATATTCTAGAATATCAACTCAATAATACAACTAATCCTTAATCCTAAAGAACAAAAAAATTCTAGATCCAGCATTCTCCAACAAGAGAGGTAGGTGCACCCCTGCAGTACATTTATTTGGCTCGGCTATGTGAACTGAGATAAAATAAGCTGCTTATTGAGATCATGTGTTTTTAGGGTTTCACTATCCCTATACAGCGGTCCTGGCTAGATATTGGAAATTGGAATATCGTCTAATAACTTAATTAAAAGGAGACAAAGGAGCATTTGGCTTCTTACATGTGCCATGCTCTTAAAGGCCCATGAATTTCTTGTCCGTTCTTTAAAAAGTAAGTACCATCCTCAAAAAACAATATGACATGAATCTAAATTCACAAGCAAAACCAAGGGAGGTTCTTAATTTTAGTGGGTTGAGTTTGTTAGAGTCCTTCGTAAGTCTTGGTATGTTTATGCATTTAGTTGTTTTGTAATATTAGTAATAGTAGGTTACAATGTTATGTGAGAATTCTTTTTACTTGTAAGAAGGATTTTATGAAGTCTATTATGCATCACCTATGTCTGTGTTCTCGAATATCCCCCCCATTCAAAATATGCCGAGGAATGAAAAACAGGAAACATAAACACAGATGAAACAACTATTTAAATCAACCGAACATTTAAGTTTCAAACTCCATTGATAGACTTGAAGTTTTTCTCCAGCAAGCTGCCCCAGTGCTCTTTCTTCTCAATTATAATGCATTGACCACAAAAAATTTAGTTACTTTGAGATAATCATTTTCTCTTGGTTTAAAGAAATTGCTTCTCTTTTATCATTGTCCTTGCAGGATAGTCACTTCCGAAAATTAGGATAATCAGTAAGCATGAGAACATTTGGATTATATGATGGAAATTACTGATTCTGCCAAGTCGCTAGCTTTTTGGCAAATAAAGTGAAGACTTAAATCAGATCAAGTGTTGTCTAGAGCGCAGAAATGTGTGTTTTAATTCTTTGGTGCAGTCACTTTCAATCTGAAAGAAAAACCCAAACCTCTATTCCTTCAGTGCATAAACTGAAAGATTAAGAATTGAAATGGATATGAATATCAAACAATGTTAATGTTTCTAGTGAGTGGGAAGCATTTTCGCAAATAAGTATGATTAATGTAACTGATGGCTGGCAAAGAGAGAAAAATAAATTTTCCAACTATGGTCATCCATCTGCATCCCCACAATTGATATTTAACAAAAAAGAAAAAAAAAAAAAAGAAAAAAAAGAATTATGAATATGTGAGAAAATATCATAAAACTGTTAAATAATTTGATAATTCCAGAAAGATATACAAGGTTATTGGAGAAACTTACCATCAGTGCTTGCAACTCCCTGCAAAATTAAAAGGGATAAGCTAAGAATTCTTGAATACGCAATTGCGGGCAAAAGATAAAAGTATTCAAATGACATACCTTCTGCCATCGCTCAATATCAGTCAAAAGAGTCTTACTTTTTTGGGCAGTCTTCTTTGCCACCTGAAGCAAAATTACCATCCCAAATATGTCAATCATCGTCAAACTACCACTCTCTTTCATTAACATGTGACAGTAGAATCATAGAATAAACCTTCATTTGTTTATAGAATAAGAAGAATTTAAAGTTATGACCGAATTTATTTCCTTATGTCCTTTCATGCTCCCTTTTCCACTAAGAGAAGTATGACCTATCATTCGAATAAAGTAAAGCAAGTGAAATCTAATGGGAGAACAAATTTTTTTTTGTGTATCAGCCATAGAAATATAGATGTGAAAGCCAGACACCAAGCCTAAATTGTACTTAGATTTATATGTCCAAATCTTGTGATATTGTTCCAAGTTTTCTTAAATATTCTGATTACTTATACTTCTGTAAATTGTTAAAATAATAAAAATAAATCCATCTTAAAAGAAATTGAGTTTCTACTCTGATATACTTTGTCTTCCATCTAGCAGAGACAGAGAGAGAGAGAGAGAGAGAGAGAGAGAGAGAGTACAAATCTAAAAATGATTATTAAGATTCCATGTTAAAATACTGGTGATCCATTAATGTTTGATTGGCTTTGAGAATCAATATTTGAAAAACATATCACTTTGTCTATAGGCAACCAAATATTATTTGTTAAGCATCTTATCTGTATTGTACCCATGTACTTTTTGAAAGAGCAAATTGTGTTTGATCCACCTGTGGGCCAAAAAGAAGTAACAACCATAGCTTAATGTCAACAAGTAGTAAACCAGAACTATGATCTGATATGAATGGCTTCTGTTTGCTTGAAAAATCCAACCTCCAACCCACTTCCAGGCTACTGGTGGAACTCAAATGACCCTCTTGATTTCAATTGGCAACCTTAACTCTCAAGGTAAGAGCAAAACCAGAGTCCATTCATGAGTACGGGGAAGCAAAGCACTCCACAGTTGTATTATGGCTATTATTTTCAGTGAAGGTCAAATAGTGAAATCTTCATGGTTCTTACTTATGAGATTGAATAATGAGTTTTGAGTCTAGCTCTCTGTATCTCATCTCAGTATATGATCGACTTTTCAACTCAAACGAAATGTAAGAGTTTTAATAAGAGAATCATGTCCACTTAACTTGTCTAAAATAAATGTAGGATGTATCCAATTACACATGGATTACTAGATTTGTCATATTAATGGATCCAGTTTGAATATAAAAGATTGGAACACATAGAATTGGTCAGAACCCAAGCAGGCTGACACACAAATTCCATTTATAGGGCTCTTTCACTAACAAGTCAGGAGTATGCTTCTATCAACTCATTGCAAACAAATTTTGGTATGCAACCTATTATTACTTATACTCTAGCTGATCATACATAAATTCGATAAACTTCCAAATTAAAACTTTTAGCTGCATTACCTCTTCAACTTTTATCTTTCCAACAGCGACTTTATCCTTTGTCTCTGAAATTCCCTTCCTGAACAACATGCCAGTATTAGCAGCAGCAGAAATAAAACTTTCCTGCAAAGCATGTCTCGTGGATGGCTGCTGAAGAAGCGACCATCGACTTTTGACAATTGACCCGACTTTTCCTGCTACATCAGTAACATTACCCTTCGCATCCTTTGCGACCACCCCCACAAAGGTTCCAGCAGATTGCCCAGCTTCTTTAAGCTTCTCCCCTGCATTGAAAACTCAAGTATACATATACAGAAAATAAAACTAATCCTGGTAAACAAGAAACCTATTGAATTTATCAAAATTTACCTGAGGATGAAAAGAAACCACTAGCCTTTTCTTGCCACTGAGGAGCGATTTCCGAAGGCATTGAACCGGCACCCAAGACCAATATTAACTCCAAAAGGAATAAACTTAATCTGTTTCAAAATGCGGGCACAGAACCAAGTTATGGAAGAACAGTAATCACTAGTTTTGTGTCTGCAAAAAGTACATAATAAACAAATTTCCTATGCCTTGTCTGATAAAACTCGATCAAAACAAAAACCTACACTGACTAGAATTAAACTAATACATCAGTTTCACTAAGTTCAATCGAGTTTATCATTTTATTTAAATTTCAATCAATCAAGAGTTACTTTCCGAAAAAAAGAATTTATAATACGGAGTAATAAAAAATAAAACTTAAGAGTTGTTTTGTTTCTTCTCTATTCTCTTCCCACGTTTTCTAAGCACCCAAACAAATTAGAAATATCCAAACAAAATATAGAAATATAAACACCAAACAAATTCTCTCAAGTCAGCAACTCAAATCAACATCAAATAGAGAATTCAATTTTTTTATTTTTTTTCCTTTAACTTTCTTGGCATAAACAAAGGATTAAGCGGAGACCTCTATATGATCGATCTTTCAGAAACCCTAATTTTCAGAAAAAGGAGGTGAAAATTACCTTTGTTGTAAAAAAGAGGGTGCCAATCGATCGAAGCTTTGCAAAAGTCGTAGTCTAGAGAGAGAAATTTATTTTGGTCGTCCGACGAGAGAGAGAGAAAGAGAGAGAGAGAGAGAGAGCGAGAGCGAGAGCGAGAGAGAGAGAGGGGGGAGTTCTTTTTCGGAGTTGGAAAAGTATACTTCTATTGTTTTGTCCGAGTGGTCAGACTGTCTTGGCCAATAGCCTCGAACCACGTGTATGCTTACGGAATGAGTTGACATGGCACTGCTTCTGGAGCCTTCTAACTGATATAACGGCTGTTTCGCGTCTAATTAGGTGAGTTATGTTATAGAGTTTAAGTCTGTTTTTCAAATTCCCTTAATAGTTTTTGAAAATTATTTAATAATTGGCTGGTTACCGGTGAATCAGTTTATAAATAGTTCAGATTTGAATTTGTTACAGAGTTTCAGTTTGTTTTTAAAATTTGTTTAAAAATTGGAGGTCAAGTTCAAACTTGTGAAACATATACAAGAAAATCAATGATTAAAGATTATATATTTCTTCTGATTAACCATGATGTCAGATTAAAGATTAAGAGCTCAAAATTGATTGAATGAGTCGAACTCAAGTTTGATAAAATGATCAGACACAGACCTAACATAGGACCAGTGGGAGTAGTCCTCACTGGATTCTTTACAATTTTATTTTTTACTTCAAAATTTTTTGAATTTATGAAGATATCTCTACTAAAATTATAATTCACTCACACTAAATTATTTTTTTTGCATTTTATACTTTAAATTTTTGAGAATTTTTTAAGATGCCCCTACTAATATTATAATTCGCCCCCACTGGGTTTTTTTTTTTTTTTTTTTTTGTGCATTTTATACTTTAAATTTTTAAAAATTTATGAAAAAAACTCTATTAAAATTATAAAAATGAACCCACTATATAAGTTTTTCTTTACAAATTAAAAGACCGCCCCTTACAAATTTTTCTAAATCCATCACTGAAAATGATGGTATACTCAGAAGTCTTATTTATTATGGAGTAGTATTATTTTTTATTTTTACATATAAATTATAATTTAGTAATAAGTCTAAAAATAATTATTATTGAGGAACCATATATGGTCACTAAAAAGCAATAAAAGTGTAATGATTTTTTCTTCGAAAATTTAATTAAAGTGTAATCATTGCAGTATGTTTGGTTGCACATGGTATTGGGATCTATCACAGAGAATGTGCAATTACTTTTAAATTTGGTAACTAAAAGTCTTCTGATTTTTTTATTTTTTTTTGCTTTTTTCTTTCAACAAATTTGGTGGTTTAATTAACGGTAAAGTAGAGCCAAGACTGAACATTTTCTTTGTCAACTCATTCACTTCAGCTCTAGCAGCCCGAAAAGATCCTTTTTCCCATTATTTCCACAGTTTTAATTTGAGCTCTAGTTGCACCGAAATGGCTTGGATGAAATTTAATTAAAATTCTCAAACTCTAAATTCTAAATATCTATTCGATGCTATCAAACCTAATATGAGTGTAATTCAAATTCAATTCTTTGTGAAATCAATCCCAATGATCAGAAACTTCAAGTTTCAATAGAACGTAAGCATTTACTTTAATTCATTGGTTGTTCTTAGTTTTGTCTGCTCCATTACCATGTCAGAGTTCTAAGTCATTGTGACCAACAATCTGTAAATCATAAAGCTGGACTTGTTGCTTAAGCTTAAAGTTAAAAATAAAGTATTCACTATTATAAATATATATATCTGTACCTACCAACTTATTTTTGGGAAGAGAGTAAATATTAACTAAGAACAAATTGGGAAAATAATAATAATAATCTCCAACCTTTGTTCATGTAAATCATCTTCTCATTTAGCTGAGTTTTCACATATGACCTCCTTTCAACCAGTTGAGTTTAACCATATGGCCTCAATTAGGTCGTTTTCAACTATTCATATACAGTTTGATGAATCATATCAATTGTTTCATTGACCTTAAAAGAAGATTTTTCCACAATTTTGTAGAATGTACAAGCACCAAGTAACAGGGAGCAAGAGCGAATTTCGGAACGGGAGTGTGAAAACGATAAAATCTAAATCACATAGGAATAAGAGGCGAAACGTGAGAGCGAAAGCATGTTTGTAGCATAAGAACAGTACCCGTTGAGAAGATATGTGTAAATCAGGGCAAACATCAACCAAATATAAAAAATGGTAGATGCTTAGCCTGGTTTATGCTACTGTAAAACATGAAAACAAGCACACTAGTGCTTAATTTTTCACGCTGAAATTACATGTTCTAAAAGTGTTTGACAATAGGGTCATGGATAAATTTTCTTCAATTAATCTCAAATCTCCTCCTTACTCGCGTCAAGCTCTTCCTCGACGATCCTCTTCCAGAACCAGTGTTCCCTCCATACTCTATCCATCTTTTCAATAGGCATGTTCTTAGTCTCAGGCAGCAGTAGGTGAACAAACACAGTCATCACCACCACCCATGCCCCGAAAAAGAAGAAAATGCCGTACTTTAAGTGACACAGCATAGACAGAAAAGTTTGAGCAACAATGAAAGCCAAAACAAAGATGACTGCCACTGAAATACTTTGTCCAGCTGATCGAATCTCGAGTGGAAAAATCTCACTCGGAACTAACCATCCTAATGGACCCCATGACCAACCATATCCTGCAGCATAAACGCAGATTAAAATCAAGACCACACCCCACCATGATCCTCTAGCTGAGCTGCCAATATGCCTCCAACCATTATTTGTGACACAAACATCTGTATCCCCCCAATTGTGAACAGAAGTCTTCGGCCTAGTTTATCAACTACCAACATTGATATGAAGCTTGAGCCAGTACCTACAATCCCAGTCACAACTGCAGACATGAGTGACGCGCTTTCTCCTAGACCAATAGTTCCGAAAAGTACTGGAGCATAGAAGGAAATGACATTTATTCCCGTGACTTGTTGGAAGAATGGTATGGCTATTGCCATAACTAATTGAGGTCTATATTTTCTTTGTAGAATTTTCTTGAATGGGTGTTTGGTGGTATTGGATACGGCACTTGCTTTGATGAGATCATCAAGTTCAGCTTGGACATCTTCAGTGCCTCTGACTCGTTGCAGCATCATCTTGGCCTTTTGATGATCGTTGCTTCGCTGAATTAGGCTGTTGGGTGTTTCGGGGAGGAAAAGTGCTCCAAGAGTCAGAATTGAAGCAGGGGCTGCTGCCATGGCTAGGGAGATTCGCCAGCCCCAATTGCCTTTGATTTTTTGAGTACCGTAGTTGATAAGGTTTGCTGACAGAAACCCAATGCCAATGCTGAACTGAAATCCAATGTTGATTGCTCCTCTATATCTTGGTGGTGCCATTTCTGAGAGATATAGTGGGATTGACTGCAGAAGAGGAAGGAAAAAATAAATAAACATAGCTAATAAGCTAGTGTCAAGACCATTCACCTTTTACCTTATGGCATTCAATTTCTTTCTTCCTCAACAATGTAAAGTTTGCACTTACTAGCACTAGGCTTGTCGCGAAAACAATGAACTATAGTAATGGAGGTAGTGGCAGTAAGAAAGAAAGTACTACTACATAACCTTACTATTGCCACATTTATCATGTATGATATAGGAAGGCTGCGTATTAGTCTTTACTTCAATTATCATTAATAGTTGTGATCAGAAGCCTTAGTGCACTGAATTAACCTTTTTTTTAGTTGCGATCAAATAGCAAATGTCAAACGAAAAGAGGGGAGACTGCCCTACCTGATTTGCGAAACCAACCCCAACTCCAAGCAAAACGCGGCCAAATATCAGCATGTACACATTATATGCTGCTCCACCTAAGGCTGCACCAGCAAGGAATGCAGCTCCTCCGGCAAGGATTGATGGCTTGCGGCCAAAGGCTCTAGTGACAGAAGAGGCAAAGAAAGAAGCAATTAGACCGGCCAAGTAGAGTGAGGACGTGAAAGAGGTCAGTAATTGACTGTCGAATTTACAGTAGTTGCTAATCTTGGTGTCTTCTTTCATCTTAGTGTACACCTCTGGGAAGAATTTCTTCAGAAATGGCTCCATGGAGGTCACTCCACCTTCACAATTGCTCGCAAATATTAACATAACTGTTCTAAGTACTTTCTCCTTAAATTGTTATATAATGTAAAATTCAGCTTTCATAGTAATAACAATTCAACAGAGCCTAATTTTGATGGTGGGATCAAATTATATAAGCAGAATTTGAGTTGTTAAAGCTAGAATGCATATCAAACCAGTCACAACTTCTCTCTTCTTCATACTGTCTGAAAATTTATCCCTGTATATATATATCACAATCCTGCTAAAGTAAAACCAATAGTAACTGGTTCTCACTCTTTTCCACCCAACTGAATACAAAATACAAAAATAATAAAATAATATAATAAGTACTAGTGTAATTTCCAATAGGTACATTTATTTCTAAGTAGAAAAGATATTATTGTGTAATAATATACCATAACTCTGTGGAAAGCCTATTAAAGCATTCTGTGGCTCAAGAAAAATATTTACCGCATGCACAACTCTGTGGAAAGCCTATTGGTCCCAACTTTTGGGTGTCAACTAAATTAACTAACATATCTATGGATGATGAAAAACAAAAAACAGAACTGCTTTATCTTATACCATAAAAATCCTTAACAAATCTCCAACTTATGTAATCTGCTAATTAATGGGCAAAAAAGGTAGATTGGTTTTCTATACAGAAAGGAAAACTAAAATGATATCTAGACTTGTAGCATGAGATATATACCTGAAATACCGATATCATAGCCAAAAAGAACTCCTCCCATAGCAGCCGTCATACAGGATAACACAACAAATAGAGTCATCCTGCCATTGTATTCCCCACCTTCACTTGTTATGAATAATCCCCCCGCCATGGCTACCCCCAAGCTTGTAGAGGGGAGAGAGAGAGAGAGAAAGAGGAAGGTCCAATTTGACTGCTAGATATCATCAGTATGGTCAGTGAGGGATATTCATAAAAAAAAGTATCACGTATCTTGGACTTTTAGGACCATGTGGGATATGTTGATTGAATAATGGAGTTTGGAAGATTTTGTAGTCTCGTGGCTTCACTATCAAATATTTTGTAGTCTTGTGGACTTCACTGTCAAAGAAGACCG